ACGCGGCGGGCGGCCATGACGCGGCGGGCGGCCATGACGCGGCGGGCGGGCGGGCGGGGCGGCCATGACGCGGCGGGCGCCATTTCCTGCGGCGGGCGGAGCGGCGGCCATGACGCGGGACCAGCCGCGGCGCTCCGGCCCCTCGGAGCCTCCTTCCGCCGCCCATTGCTGCTGTTCAGGCGAAGTTTAATGTACAAATAAGGGCTGGAGAAGTTCCTCGGAACAGCCCCCTCCCGTTAACCTTCCCYCATGCAGATGCACTCCTCAGCAGCACCGCGTATTTCAGCAGACACACAAATTCCGAGGAGAGGGGACAGAGGAGCTGGTAAGTTCTCACAGCAGCTTTCAGGGTTTGCTTACCATGGATTAAGTGCAGCCAACMTCAGCTCTACAGCGTGAGAAACAGCCCTGCTGGCCCCTGGTTTAGCTCAGGCTGTTGGCGCTGGGCCTAGCTCAGCTGTGATTTTTCCACCCYGAACCCCTCTCCGCAAAAATTAAAAAAGAAAAACAAAAAAATCCAACAAAAAAATCACCACACCCTTGAGAAGACATCCATGATCCAGGCTATTTTCCTAACAAACTTGCACCCACGCTGCAAAGGAAATCTTCAGAGAGGGTTTRGACTAAGGGTGTTTAAAACACAGGTTAACATTCCCACAGATAYTCACTGGCTAGTTCCTTTTCTGCTCAGACAAAAGAGTGAACCCGTAATAAAAACTCCAAGCTGGYGTACCCTCAGAAGAGGAGGGCAGCCTTTGAAATTACACACACTGTAATTCCATGTATTAAAAAAAAGTATATTAAAAAAGTCATGSCTGTGCAGAGTCAGATATTGCACAGCACTTCCATGTGGGCAAACTTGTTTCAATTTATTCACACTTGGATCAAGTGAAAGAGCAGACCTCGTAATTACGAAGCTCTCTTTATTAGTACAGACAATACAAGATGCATTTCTTTTTGCAATGAAAAATCATGTCCAGCTTTAAAATACCTGGTTAATGAAACGGCCCTCAATGTCTGCCTCGGACAGAGGGGCAAACTTCACAGTGTCACTTGCTAACACAGGGCAGAGCGCATCATGGCATGTTTTGTAAGACTCCCTGCTGACATTATCAGACAAKAACTGCCATAATTCAAGAGGATGTTTAAAGAGGATAATTAATTAACTGGAGAACAGTTTCAAGTATTCAAGCACTTAGGTCTTGGTTCTGTAAAACCATCTGCTTTTCCCTGTTCCTCTCCTTCCCAAAGAGGCCACAGCCACATGTGGGAAGCTCATCACTTCTGATGCTTCTGCAGAACAGCTCCAGTTCTCCCAACACAGAGAACACCTTTCCAGAAGCAAGACTGATTTTTGTTATTGCAATAGACAGTGGTAGGAAAAAAAAAATTACGTCTGTGAATGTTACAAATACTTTTWAAAAGCAATAAATTATTACAAGAGAAGTTTGAGGGAAGTTTTACACTGTTTATAGGAATAGAGAATCGAAGACSACAGTCTCACCATTGCATAAGCTCCTGAGAAACAGGAGAGCGCAACCTGAACCATGTTGTTCGCAGGCTGCCCGACTGCCTGCACGTGACTGCCCGTCAGTCAGACCCTGTGAACTCACATCAACATTTCACATATTGCCATTTCATGCATCTCAGCAACCTGGCAGCAGTCAGTGATTTAACTTGCGTCTACGACGTCTCCGAGGCGGTCACCAGTTCGAACCACTGCCTGAGCGCATCGCTGAGCGTTTCCGGGAGAGCGTTCACGTCCCTAAGGATCATGTAGAAGGGGAATGGGAATTCTTCCATGTAGGATCTGATTTCAGGCAATTCTCCGGGTCCTTTGAATATAGGAACTTTAATGTCCAAGATGGAATCCTGTTAAAAAAATTAAAAATAAATAATGCTGGATTGCTGGGCCTACTGAACCGCATGCCTTCTTCACTGGCCTTTGGTATCCTTTATCTTTTTACATCAAATACTTTTAAATGACTCCTTTGTTAAAGGAGGGTTAATAAAGAGTTTTAAGATTGAAAACATGCTGGTTCAATTGCAGGTCTAATCAGATACCAAAAGCTGAACACAAATGCTTTTGCTCTTCTATTTAAAAGTGCTTTAAAAAAAAAAATACAGACTAGAGGAGACCAAACTTTYGCAATATGAAGTTCTATAAATAAATTTTATCTTAGCCCAGTATAATTTGAGTTTCCTGTTACTGTTTTACCTTAATACATTTGATGCCTTTTGCTGACACTTCTTTTCATCTGTAAACTTTGAGCCATGAAGAATTTTTGACTTAGGTTTGTGCAGTGACCGAATACAAGAGGGTTCATTATCAAATTATTGTATAGTATTTCACCAAATACTACAAATGACAAAAACAGATTAAACCCGGACTGTACTGCTAGGAAAGTAACTTCTTAATTCATMAGTGTAGCACTTCAAAATAAACCCTTGTGAAAACTGCATTTTGCTGCTCAGAATTTTAACCTGACAGCATAAGCTGGATTTCACCAGAACTTTTTAAGTTCTCCAGGTGGCAAGGTGCTAAATTTTCAACAATAAATATTCAGTACCATGCAGTTATGTTTTCTTATGGAAAATAAATAATAAATWTGGTAAGACGACAACATGCACTGCACAACTGGCTTTCCCCCTAGCAGGCTTTGCYGTGCTGAGCACACCCAGACAAAGCTCAGCTTTGCCTGCTGGCTGCACTGACAATGCTGAAAAGCTCCCGACAGTTCAGCTTCCCAAGCTGTGCAACCYGAGCTGGGTTCCCTTCCAGCTGCCAAACACACCGTCCAACTTCCCTAACTCGGACACGACACAGCTCAGAGAGGCCTTTCTGCCTGAGGCTTACTCTCCTATCAGCTCCTGCTCTCCGGTCAAAAGGAACCCGCTGCCAAAAGAGATCATTTGGGATCAAAATGGAGAAGGAACAAAGCAGCTCTCAAACTTGCAGCTTGTCAGCCTGCCAGCTGCTTCTCTGGTGGCCAAATCTACAACCATTACATTAGGAAAAAAGGAGCTCCCATTCAGGACATTTGTAGCATGGAAGCTGATTCTTTTTTCCACCACAAAAGGGGATAAGCATCAGAGCAGGGAGCAAAGGTAGAAGATCYGGCATTGTGGAAAATCTGAAACCGGGCTAAGTAGCTTTGACCTCTGCAAGAGATGCGAGATAGCTGCCRGGCACCACAAAGACAAGAAGATTCCTATCAGTTGTCACTCGCTGCACCTGAGCACTTCCCTGTTGTTCACTCACCCGGGAATTCGGGTTGTCCAACACCACAAAAATGACAAAGATGTTGGCGCTCTGCGCTGCCCGCACCGCTGCCGTCACCCGCTCCTTGCCTTCCAGGAAGAGGCCTCTTCCGTCAGACACGATCAAGAGCAGTTGGGCTGTTTCTAAGCACAGGAAACATTTTAAGTTTAAAATTTGAGTTTTAAACATTCAAGTGCCAGGAAGTTAGTATTTGATTGCAAAAGTAAGTGGAATAATTCATTGTAAATCTTGAAGGTATTACATAAAAGCCATCAAAAGCAAGTAGAGTCTTTATCAAAGAGAACTCTGTGATTTAATATGGTAGCTATAAAGGAAAATAATCGTTTCCACTGTGTGCAACCACTGAGGGCAAACTAAGCTAAAAAAATATTCTGACTGTACCATGAAAGGCATGGAAAATAATGAAGCAATGGGGTCAGGGTCTTATCCTGGCCACAGAGCGATCCCGCAGTGCACGAAAGGACTGCTCCAGGATAAAGCTAAACTGGAAGCAGGCCCCAGAGGCCCGGGGAAGGCGGCACTCGGGCCCGGGCGCAGGCGAGCCAGCCCCAAGCAGAGCTGCTGAAGGCAGCRCAGGCGCCGGCTCCCCAGGAGCAGCCGTTTCGCTGCCAGCGCTTCGCCAGGAGGCCRGCGTTGGTGCCTTCCCGAGGCAGATGCTCCTTCCTAAAAAGCMCTGAAGGGAATTTCAGTGAACTACTGATAAATATGAAGCAGAGGGCTCCTGGGGTTGGAGCTAAATTTCAAGGAAATATTCCTTCCAAGAAAGCAATACCCAAAGCCTGAGGCAAGTGAGCGCTCAGTGGAAGGCATCTTTTGGGCAAGATGCTGCTTGGAACCAGGGCAATAACTCAGTTGCCCCGAACCTGGATGTTAATAATAACCTGGATGTTTATAATAAATAATAAAAATAACCCAGCTTACCTGGGTTAATGCTGGGAGACAAGTGCTGCGCGGCAGCAAACATATCTGCTGAAGACTCTAGAAACTGCAGAGGAAGCAAGTTAGGCAGGCGGATACAATCATTATCAAACATAATAATTGTAGTATTTTAAAACACTAAAGCGTGTTCTTTATAATGCCAACGTGGTTTAGTCTGTCCATTTACCCAGATACAAGTCTTTCCACTTTCCTGCATTAATGCCTGCTTCAATTTTAATAACTATTTTTTAACTTCAATCTGGATTTCAAGTTTTCCAGTGCTGGTGGAGCCACCAAAACCTCCCTAAACTCTTCAGATCTTTAACCTCACTTAAAAATATACCTCCTAGTTCTAAGCTGAGCTTTTTGGCTTCCCCTTGCAACCAGACTACGTAGTTATATCTTTATCATTAGAGTTAAGGAGATGTAAACTGTCAATCACTCCCTATTTGAGTATTTATRAGATGAGAGGCAGGCTCCTCGGGCCTCCAGTGTTAGGTTTAATATTGAGGGCACACTGTATTTGCCCTCCAGCCCTCTGCAGAGTCCCRGCTGTTCCAAAACATGGTGAAAACCAACATGAGCAGGGGAGAGCACTTTACAGGTTGCTCACTGAGATTAACATCCCAACACACCTATTTTAGATGCGTAATTTTAGCAGCAGGGGCCAATATTAAAACTTTACAGTGCAAAAAATACATTTTTTTAAAAGMGAAAAATAACATTTGTGGAACTCTGCCTTTTCTCTGTTAGCTGTCAAGGATTGATAGTGCTGCACATACTGACTAGGCCTCTATGCTCGGGTTGCAGTGCTTGTCTGGAGTTCCTAATGCAAGTCTGGAAAGGTAAGAGTGCAAAGAAAAAACTTCCTAAAAGAAGAACGTTTCAGAGAGGCCCAGAAAGTGTCACTGCAGAAAGTGGTTTTGTGAAACAAGAAAGGAACATGTTCCACATGTTTGTGGAACATGAAAGTTCCTCCCCCTSTGCTTGAATCCACAGACACTGATGGCATTTGGCACTGGGGCACAAAGCTAACGTCGGCAGCTTGCACCTGCACTACAGGCTAAGACCTTGTACAGACAAAATTGAATCTTTTAAAATGATACAGACTAGAAAAGTGAGCAAAACTCCTTAGTTTCACAAGATACTGACCATTCTGTCTCACTGTGATCTAGCCAGCAGTCAAAAGCTGAAATGCAAACCACCAATTCAATTTACCAGGCAACCCTGAAGCCAGGAGGCTGCTGCTGTCTCGTCTGCAACCCCGCAGCCCCAGAGGCACCTTGGCTCACCTGAGCTATCCTCGTTTTCTTCTGCTGAAATTTGCAGAGGCGCAATATCCGTGTGCCCGACTGGTCACCAAACTGCTCATGGAATGGGTGCAGCAGCTGGACAGTCTCTCCAAAGCTTAAAAAATAAACAAAAATAGTAGTATGAAACTAGTAGGAATAATCTGTTCTGAAATCTTGGAGGGGGAAAGAGAAGTTCACCTTTAAAATAAGCTCACCTGCACACAGCAATTTGTCCCACTTCTAGAAGAGTCAATGCATTTCCAATAACTGCTAGAGACTCATAGGCAAGCTAGTAAAGAAAAAAAATAGAGAGAAAATAAGATTTGCCAGATTTTATTTGGTGCCATGTTGAGTACGCCAAACATTACTGCATTTCCTTTTCACCCTCTAGTAAATAAATGAAGACACTTCGTATCTGTCTTGCTAATACAGTTATGCAAAAAAGCCTGCAAGAGCGCTGTAACAAAATAGCATTTAATGCTCCCATGGACTAAGCAAATTTCTGCCTTTTGTCAAGTTAAAAGCCCACGAACCAGGAAAATAACTGCTCCAAAATCYCCAGTGTCAGGCTTTTTAACTACCACTTCTGCATGAAACAGGTCAACAGCTGACAGAGAATTCATCACCACGGGGTAGTTCTTTTCCTTCCACCTTCCTACTTGGTTTTTACCTGCTTGGAGTGATTGTCTATCATGCTGGAGGAGTCATCGATAGCCAGGCAGATCTGGTACTGCCGCTTGCTGGGCTTGGTCCTGCGCAGCCAGATCTTGTCCTTCCGGAACTGACTGGCGATGTAGGGAATCACCTTGCGCATGTTCAGCCTCTTCCCCGTTCGGTAGTCTCCTCTGAAGTTAAGAGGGGGAAAAAGATGAAGGAAAGGTACAGATAAAAACAAACAAACTACACAAAAACAAAGCAACATACCTATTCCTATTTAAAGACAGCAGTTTGAATTTCTTAGGAGCTCTTAATTTTATGTGCTTAAATCGGGAGACCTAACACACCCCTATGTAGGGTCTAGACCTTTTCAAAATCACTATTACTAAAAAGAATATAAAACATTTTGACATTTAACATTACCTTTGACTTAAAAGTGGTTCACAAGTTTCAATCTAACTAGTATTACACAAAAGTGAAAAATARAAGACTGGAAGTTTCCTCAGAAGGAATAAAGTATACATTTGTATCATATTTGCCTTTTATAAAATAATTTAGTATTTCAATACTACATTACTACTATGTAAATACTACATAATACTACTATGTAAATATGTCAACACTACGGAAAATGAACTCATTTTCAAACAGGAATAATTTCTGTAAAGCAAAAATAACACGGAGCTCCCATTGTGAAGCCATTAAGCTCTGMAAATGGGATCCTAGCAGGACGAGAGGCCTCAGAAAGACCCGACTTACTTCAGCTTGGCTGCCTGGGTGGGCTCCAGGATGAGCCGTAGCTGCTCACACAGCTGCTGCGCTAGCGGGGCCGTCAGCACCAAGTACCTCTGCCACAGCTCTGCTGCCTCCTTCTCCTGGAGCACCAGTTAGCAGGGAAAGAAAAAACATGGGAATGAACAAAACAACCTGGAAGCACAGCCTGGAAGAAGTAAACTTCAGTGTACAAAGGGGGAAGAAATGAGTAGTTACCAGGTGAAACTACAAGGAAGTTTTGTGAGCGCTCGACAGAAACATGAGTGCAGGCAGCAGACTTGGAGCATTCAGTTTGCTGCCACAGAGCTGCAACAAGCAGTGGCCATTTCTCTAGGAGCAGATGGAGCAACTTTATAATTGCTGCCGATTTGGGAAAATCTGGTAACGGCCACCAGCTCATAGTATTACAGCAAGGCAAGCCATAAACTCTGCAAGGTTCTCCATCAGGCATCAAACCCAACATTAATTAATTATGTTTTAGCAATATAATTCTYAATCCTGTCCATTCCCTATAGGAATGATTTCCAAACATGAGTCATGGCTAGGTYGGTCAGAGCCAATATCTAAGACCAGATTCTGGTTCTGATGTTATTTAGCTCAAACTCCATCAGTGCCCAATGCGATTTTGGGGCAGTGGTCTCTGACCCTGTTAACTGCAGGCAACACTTACTCACAGGGGAAGCAACTTGGCAGGGCCAAGGAAAGTATTTCTAGCTAAGCAAGGGCAAGTTTTGGACATCATTTGCAGGATGAGTGCAGAGCAACCAACACGCAGATTGCACAGAGTGTGTTGAAAGTAACATCTAAAACACTGCTCTGCTTTAGGGATAGCATCTTTTTTCTTGTCCCCAGAAATTGTTAATATAAATAAAGAAGAAAAAGGCCCTAATTCAAGTTTAGATTCCAGTCTGCTCAGTTTCCTCAATGTTTCAGCAGGAAAGTAAGACGAAAAAACAGGCACCRAAGATTTATTTATCGAGAGTTTCATGTTAAAATGAGGTCACTAACCTCATCCGGATTTCCAGGCTGCTGTGTTTGCCAGACTTCCAGCTGCCTTTCAAGCTCTTTTCTCAGCTCTTCAGGGTCCCTAACAACATGCTGAAAGTGCATTTATGAGTAAAGTAAGTGCATACATCTTGTGTTCCTAAACATTAGCAGATTATAAAGTACAAAAGACAGTGTTCTCATTCTCTCAGACAAAACCACACACACAAAAAACTACTTATGGATTTATTCTATATCTCTATTTTTGAATAATGTTCACATRCAGAAGGGTTAACACCTCTCTACAGATAACTGCATCTGTGACACAACAAGCTATGAATTTCTACGATATAGGCACTGAAAATAATCAAACACAGAACCAAAGGATAATCGATTCAAAATTACCTTGTGATGAATATATGATTTTAATGAATATCAAGCTACTTACTACTATCTACYGATTTAGTATCTTCCAAAATATAATCTGTTTCGATTTTTATGTTTATTATTAATCTATAAATTAACATATATATATTTCACAGTCTCACTGAAGCTCTTAGAGAACCAAATGCCACCTTCCTCTTTACCTGCCAGCAAACACTGCTTGGCCAGAGTTTCAGCACAAGGACACCCCAGGTACATGACACCTCTTCAGCTTACTGCACTTGCAGTGACAATCCTGCAACTTGCAAGACCACCCTCTAGTGCAACAGCAGCGTGTGGCCTGCACAGCTTGCAGGTTTACCGTGTTAGCCTAAATAATCCTGCAAACACAAGTTAAACGGTACCAACAACTTCCCATCCCTCAGGAGGCAGCCGCAGGGCTCCGAACACCCGCTGCAGGTGTAAGGAGGGGGCCCCACTGCTCTCTGTACATGCAGAGGGCTCCGTCCCGCTTGCTCTGAGATGAGAACTTGCCCTTTTCTCCTTCGTGAGGTTTTCCCCCTCCACGGCTGCTGCAAGGGCTCCCCTTCCCCATTAATCATCGCAAGCTGCTGGATCTGGTCGGTGCCTGCCCTGGTTTTCCGTATCAGCTCTGGGGAAGCGCCAGGTTATTCTCACTGCAGCATTAGAGCCCCCTCTCACTTAACAGACCTTTTTGCATTAGGAGGGAAGCAGCAGGCACCTGGCACGTACTCCTTCCCTCAAAGCAAGTTCTCAGGACACAGCGATGTAACTGGAAATTTGTGCATTTCTAACACAGACCCTTATTTCACACAAAGATGACTTATTTCATCAATTAGTAATCCACCATCAGCTCCCTACATGTTAAAAATGCTTATGACAAAACATGCTTTTTCACAGCTCTCTAACAGTTCAATCCAGGAAACTCTAAGTGTCCCTTGAAATACTAAGATTTTCTAAGCTACGACAACTGTGTTTGACAGGGTTCATCATTCCCTGCAGCGTCCTGTGGCACAGTAAGCGAGGAGAATTCCCTGTCCACAGTGTCCACTGGTATTGCTGTTGCACCACCCTGACTCCTTTCTCTCTCGGGCCACRCTCTTGCCCTTGGCTTTTCCCTCCACCCGGGCATTTGACCAGCAGAGCAAAACAGCTCTTGCATCTTTCAGCCCTTTCATTTGAGCAAAGCAGCTCTCAACAGTCAGCAGCACAAAAGGCATCAACAACGTCTTTCTGAGTCTTTACTGAGTTGTCTAATGAAAATAATTGTAAACATTCAGTTCAGTTTCATGGTCCCAGGCCACTTGAAACCGAGTGTCCCTGTGACTGTAACTGCGAGGAGATGCTCCCCTTACCTGGGGAGTGTCCAGCAGGAACTGATGGGCCGTGTGGATGGTGGAGTCCTTGCTTCTCTCTGGCTTCTCCTCTGTCACATTCGGCGGGTTTTCAGGAGCAGAGTCATKGACATCCTCAGACTCAAAAGCCTGGATTTCCAACTCCGTTTCACCTGATCCTAGAACCACAGAATTCTTCATTAACCTCATGGGGTCACACTGACACCTATATATGTATGGGTACACATATATACACAGGTATATGGGCATACATATATATATGGGTGTATATATATATATATATATCCACATGTGCATATATCTAAAAATGAGAACTCTCAACTCTTTTATACCAATTCATGTGCTTTGTAATGCAACCTAAAAATATTTCAGAAAAGAAAGAGCACATACACTCCAAAATAATAAACTGCAAGAATAAGCTTTAGAGCATCTTTAGGAACAGGTGAATATAAGAACCTACAATGCCTAACAACAGCTATGCTTTTTCCTCAGGCAAACTGTTTTTCTCTCTTCCAGCCTTAGTGCATAACGAACAAAGGTATTAGTGAATAAAGCTAACACTTAAAAATTCCATATGTAAAATACATTTTTAAAGCCACTTATTCATTCTAATTAAGAAATAAAGTATATGACAATTTGAGAACACTGAAAAAAACATATATTTTCTTATCTCTTGAATGAGAAGAATCTACTTCTGCTATGGAATGGCTTTCAGTAAATCAGAATTTATTTTAAAAACAAATGAGTAAACTAGACATTATTTTACAGCGTTTCTACTATTAGAAATCACRCAAAATGGTTAAGGTTGGAAGGGACCTCTAGAGGTCATCTAGTCCAACCCCACATTTTAAAAAAAACAAAACAAAACAAACTGCCTTCCTGTCTCCTCTCTGCAGGCATGTTACACTGTTTGATAAGAAAAATGATTCAAAATKCCAGCCTACAGTTTCACTAGCTCAGATTCCCTCAAATGAGACCCTGGTGTGGCAATTCTCGTAAGTCTATTTACACAAAGYTTATTTTATTTTGTTTGTGTGGCTGCATGGCTGACAAATCAGATCATCTGCCTTCTCATCCACCAGCCACCCACATCTATTGCACATTTCCTCTGAGGAGTTTCTTTTACGTCTCTTTACTTCTGTTCCCACTTAGGCAAGCACCAAGGCAGCAACCCTTCCATGCTGTTGCTGCACCTCATGGCATTCGGATCAGCTCCWCAACCTCCTGATGCTTTGTCAAAAGTTGCCTAGAGAAGTTAGGCTGTGCTGAGACTGGGCTGCACTGCCCTATGCCAATTGTTAGCATTATACTTAACAGGAGAAAGATATTTGCTTTTTATTTCTTCAGTGAAACAAAGAGACCATAAACTTGAGATAACGCAGCAAGTCACACTGCTTTCAATCAGCTTAGCAAAAATAATTAAGAATGGATACTTACATCTTAGAAAACGCATATAAACACATTACCTGTGAATATAAACACCTGCACACATTCGGATACACTTCTGAGTGTGCACTTGGAATTTTAAAATAAGCATACCATTTTTTTTCGTGGCTGTAGACTTCCTTGTTTCTGGCTTCAACTCTTCTGCATCTACTGCTTTAATGTCCTCATCACTCTCCATTTCTGTTTCCATTGGTACATTTTCAGGATCTCCCTCTTCCTTTTCTTCTTCAGGAGGCATAAAAGGTTTTTCCTGATCCTTGCTAGCTACATCTGTACAAAAAGGAGAAGACAATTAAGGAGAAAGACAAACAGTCATGTTACAGGTAACGTTGCATTCTGAGGTCACTGCARATCAACTTTAGTGAAGGTTATCTGAGCTATTGTGTCTATCATCAATTTTATCTTTTGCTGTTTATGCCATGTTAAGTCAGTGAGCTATTGCTCTGAAAACCTTGAGAGTACAAGATAGACAAATTTAATTAACATTCAATCCAGGAATGGATTTAATTAATTWAATTTAAATTAGATGAGTGGTTCTAAAGAGCCAATTTTCTTGAAAAAGAATGGGGAACCTTTCACATTAACATGAATATTTTGCATGTGTGATAGCAATKTTGTCTTCCAAGTAAATGAGATTAGGAGAGAAAAGATTTTAAAGAGGTTTAGCAGACTAAAATTCCATCTTTATGAGCAAATGAAGTATATTTGAAAATCATTTTATTAGTTTGAACCTGGTTATTGAACAGTGGCATTTACTGTACTGAAATGATGCTGCATCTTTAGCCACAGCAAGAATGTTAAACGGGGAGGGGTGCGGGAAAAACCACTGTGGCTAAGCAGGAGCTTTGGGACTTGTTTCTGCGGTGACAACTCCTTRCACCTGGCAACTGCCCCCTACCATAGGTCTGGGCATCGTAGGGCTCGGAGCCCTGCTTGATGTGCTCGAAGGCCTCAGCCTCCTCCACGTTCTGCCTCGGCTSGGGGCTATCCCGCGGGGCCTCGCTGCCGGCCTCGATGGTTCTCAGCCGCTTGTGGACTCGATCGCTGTGGTCTCCCACCGAGCGCTCGTTGTCTGCCCGCCCAGGCTTCCTCTTGAAACTCTGCAAAAGGAACAAAGCAACAGCCTCAACTTCCCAGGAGAGCCACAGCCAGACACGGATAAGAGCAAGAATTCAAACAGGATAGAGCCAAATCCTGCCCATTTGCTCTATACTATTAAGCCATTCAAATTTTGTACTAAGCTTAAGATATTGAAGGAGAACGACGAACCTGGGTATTTTTTCTGCTTTGCTTCTCAGAAGCCATCCGGGCCATGCGGGTGGACTCATGGCCTTCCGACTGATTCGCGCTAGCCGCTCCACTTCCGTATTCCTGAGACACAACAAGAACTGCAACTGTAATTGCATCTGTAACCAAATCTCAGAAATTGAACTGAAACGCTGTGTTGATTTACAATCTGAACGGAAGTGGCTCATTACTGCAGCATTATGTTCTTGTGGAAGGCAGACAAGAAATACTGCTGCTTTAGAGCTAGCCTAAACTCACCACACTGAGTTACTCACCATACTTCACTCCTGGGAAAGCATCCACATGATCTTCAATTTTACAAGTGAATTTGAGACTAAGTTTTTAAAAAACCCGTATCAGTTCTTAGTAACATTTGGAAAGCCTACTGCCAAGGTCTAGCATTTCTGCTTAGGACACTTCCTGGAGTTTACCTCCTTAGACTGATCTCTCTCGGAAGCCTCTCCAGCCAGCTCAACAGCACTGTCACTCTGCAGGTTTTCTTGCCCAGTCTGCCCTTGTGTTTCATGCTCCATTCGTTCTTCAGACTCGGGGATCGGCTCATCCTTCTCTGAAATATCTTCATCCTCCTCCTTCTGAAACATCATAAGGTTATGTTAAAAAAGGTTATAGAGTAACCTTTTTTAAAGTTTATACTATTTATACATACTTTTATGTAGTTTATACATACTTTTAAAAGTATAACAAAGTRGAAACAATATGGATGACAAAAATATACCAGTTGATAGTAAACAAATCTGTTATCTGACGGAGAATCTCATTAATATCCCACATATTTAGTCTCAAACCATTATAGACTACATCAAATTCTTAAGCCTCTCACACGGAAAAATAATACAGACTTATTTATTGTTTTCTACCTGAGGTTGAAGGCCTTGGTCATCAGTGGGAATCCCCTTCTCTTTCTCATCATCAGCAGATTCTTTCTTTTCCTCAGCAGGTGGTTGTGACTCCTCCTGCTCTTCATCTGCCTCAGCGTTTTCCATACTTCCATCCTGACTGTCACCATCCTTCTCCCCTCCATCTTCCTTTTCCTCTTTATCTTCAGAAGCGCCTTCTTCAGCCGGCTCCGCATCTTGATCTTCTCCACCTGTATCACCATGATCCTCACCACGATCCTCTCCATTCTCATCTTCTGTATTCTCTGTCTCATTTACACCTGGAGGTTTCTCATCTATTTCAAAAGCATTCTCTTCTTCTGAATGCAGAAATCGGAAGAGTAATTCAGTATAATATAGAGACAATGAATATTACAGGTACCTGGAACAAACCTGACCCCCTCCCCGCTCCAAACAAACAAAAAGCCTTACAGAGGAAAGAGATGATCTGGTTTTCTACAGCAGGTATTTTCTTTAAGAAAAAATAAGATTTCTTTAAGAGCCACAGCATAGCTAACAATGTAGCAGCATGTATTCCTGATAATTTCCTTTTACCTTATTTCTTGATATTAGGTTGATTTTAAGTACAAAAGCTTGTAAATATCATTGAAGAGTAATAAAAAATGAAAAATCGAGAACGAAATGATGAGCTTCTAGCATAAGTTAAGGTGCCTCATATGGATGCCATAGGAAAGTCTACTCTACAACATGTGTGAAGGGAAGAAAAGGGGTCGGAAGGGACCTCACCAACACCTCTTGCTATCTAATGCCAAAATACAGAAATTAAAACGGCAGACTTCTATTACACAAAATAAAAAGGTAGTGGTGGTGGTATTCTTATTTTAATAAGGGAGCTCTTTATCCAACCATTTCCTCCCTATATCCCCATGTGGCTTTCCACTGGAAACCCGCAGTGCGATTGGCAGCTGTACCTTCACCCTCTTTCTCCTCATCATCACTCTTCTCATCGCTCTCCAGGTTGAAGTCATCAGGAAGGTCCAAAGGTTCAACCTCAGGCTGCTTTTCTTGCTGGCCATGATAAGGATCTATTTCATTCTCATCATATTCACTCTGTAAGCAATGAAATGAGTAAAAAAAAATAGCACAGACAAATAAGTGGCAGGAAAACTGTAGGAAGAAGGAGAGAAATAAGATACTGATACTTCATTCTYTAGGACACGAAGGTACTGGATACATTATATTCAGATCAGTTAAAGAATTTCCTACAGTGCACATCCTCATGCATTGATTCATTTGGAAAAAGACTTAAATAAATCTGTATTTCTTCAAAACAGGACGTTTTATGTTTTAAAATACAGTCTTCACAACTTCAAGTCTTGACTGCCACCCAAAATCATGCACACCCAGTGTCTAGCCCATGGTGCTGGAAGATTTTTGGAAAAGCCCTTCTTAGGAATAGACAAGACCCCACTTTTAGGGGTATGCAGTGTTATGGGTATGAGCAGATACAACATGCATTTAATGYGTTCTTTGAAGTATTTTCACAGCTGTGCTCTTCCACACTAAGCAGATCCTTCAGCAAACTATAATCAGACTTTGGGACGAGTCCTGCTAGCCTGAGAGAGCCACTACAGACAACAGAACAAGAATTTCCTGGTGGGTTCATCAAAACATCAATTCAGTGCAAAGCCTGTTCTGACAGCCAGGACTAATTTAGACTAATGCAAACCAAAATTATTKGTGAATTATGTATTGGTGAAAGACATCTATAGATAAAGGTATCTACAATACATTAGGTATGATATGGTTAACTCTTGTCCCTGAAATTAACTTTTCTGAACATGCCTTGGTATTAAAGACTCTGAATTCTCAGGGAAACATCAGGTAAGCAACAAGATACGGTTTAAGTGAGATACATTATTCCAAATCTTTTTTACCTCATCAATTTGCTCATGGATTTCCTCTTTGTTTCCACTGTCCTCTGTACGTTTCTCTTTTTCTTCATCCTTGGGAAATTGTTTTTTATCATCCTTATTTCCTGCACCCAAATTATCATCTTTTGCAACAAGCTCCGAATCCTCCTATTCGCAAACAAATCCAAAAGAAACTCAAATACGTTACATTTTCAAAGCATTAGTAGCAGGGCTTAGCATCTTCTACAGGAAAAAAAAAAAAAAAACCTTAGGATATACAAAAATTACTCAAGACCAAGAGCCTGCTACTCAGAACAGTACCCTCTGAGAACAGTTTATAATTATCAGAGTCAATACAGAAAACTACACAAACTTACAACCCACTACTAGCCCAGACACTTCGCAGAGACACAGTTTGCATCTGAGGAAAGCAAATGGCTCAGAGGGGAAAAATCAGCATCCCGATTTCCATGGAAAACCCCAGCTCATATAAATTACAGCTGCTCTCCTGCCCCAACTGCTTACAGGGAAGTGGTGACTAGTTAATCTGGTCACTTGCCCTCCGTGTTTTCTCCTTTCCCTGCTCCTGCCTTTTCCCTTTGCTGATATTTACACCGYCCCAGCTCTGATGCGCATTAGACTTTTTCTCAAGCTGATGACCTAGATGATCTAGATGATCTAAATGATCTAGATGATGATCTAGAGTTGTTTCATTTTTAAACTAATGTGTTGAGCAAAACTGGCTCACAGAATGGCAAAGCAGGTGAACAGATACACAAAGAAGCACAGAGTTCCCTCTCAAAACCAGCAAACCAGCAAAACCACAGCCTACATCCAGACTCCTGATCTGAGTCATATCAAGTTGATGTTTATTTCCTCAGATACCGTTCTCCCACTCCTCTCTTCTTTACCTCATCCATTCCAGGTCCAGTTTCTTCTGTTTTACTACTGGCATCTTCATCATCATCCTCTTCATCTTCATCCCCCCACAGCCTCTCATTCAGTTTATCATCAGTTTCAGCATTATCAAGGTTTCCCATCTGCTTATCCAGCTCCTCCTCTTCATCTGATTTTTCATCATCATCTGTGTACAACACGAGAGCTCAGAACATGTTTCAGCAAGGAGAAATAGAGCTTTTTCTTTTGGTTAACTTCAGAAACAAACTAGCAACCCTGTTCCTTAACATTTTAAATTAAACTCATCACCCTATGGAGTCAATAGAAACAGGGAAGAAGATACACACATGCACCCCGAAAAATATGAGCCTAACTATATCATTTAAACTGTTCTGCTGGACATACTGATATACAAAATACACTCTCTCTCTCAAACTAACAGATATCAGGTGCCAAACTTGGAAGGCTTAACTCTCCATTCCTTATCCTTCTCCCTCCTTGATTGTTCTGGCATTACTAGGAGGAGAAAGACAAAGCTCCCTTCTGCTTATCTATTTACTAGTTTTTGGAATATCTCTCTTCTTGAGCAGATGAATTTAGGATTGGATTAATTTATTTTATTTCTTACGAGTCAGCCCTAGTGGAAAAGCCAAACCTTTTTTCTCTTGTTCTCCATCATGCATTTTCCCTTCAAAGTCCTCTGACATTTCAATTGCATTGTCTTCCCCTTCAATGTCTGGTTTGGAATCTGGGTCCTCTTTTTCCTTCTCTTTGCCCTTTTGATAGGTGTCTTCTACCTGAATTGTTGATAAAAATCRAAAGTCACTGAGCATCTTGCCTGGCTATGAAAGCTTAATGTACCACTCACGTATTTATAGCCTTGGACRCAAAGAAAAAAGTCAACCCAGAGAMGAGACTGAAAGCAGTTTCATGTTGCTTTTATCTGAATATATTCAATCTATCTTGTTATTCAGAACATGGATTTCAAATTTAAGTAAAGCTTTGTTTTCATGAAGCTGAGCTAAAGTATATACTATCACATCTGTTCAAGAGTAGCATCTGTCTTCTCAGTGAGAAGACCTTAAAAATGGTAAGAATGGGTAGCCCAACTACAACCTGTGGAAAGGTTATCTGAATGTTGTCTTCAGGCCATTTTAGAGACACAGCTCCTCATCTCCTGCAGGCAAACACCAGCATTGAAAACAGAGTAGAATGGATGTGCGAGTAACTGCAGCAAGTGTTTAGAGGCGAGCTCAGAGCCAGACCAACTGCCCTGGGCCTCCCATTAGCTTTCTCAATTTGGGGCAGCTCCACRGAAGTCACTGCAGGTACCTTTACACTGTCACTGCTACAGCTTCCTGGTCCTCGAGGTCTAGATGAATCCTCTGAACTCCCCTGTGCTGCTTCTGCACACGAACTCTCTGCCCAAATGTGTCTTTTCCAATCAAACTGCTAAACCAGCTAAAGCCTCATGTTTTACATTACTTTACACATGCCTCCTTAACATCAGACTTTTTTAAAAATAATATTCATCCTTTTAAATGACTAAACTGGTCTCCAAAAGTGACACAAAGCCAGCTTAATTTACTTTTGTCTGTGCAGCAACTAAAGGTGTGACTCAGGTTAAAAAAAAATAGTATCCAACAATACAGCTAAAAACGCTGCACTTACTGTTACAAACATCAGGATATAAACCACTAATGCCAGTAATCATTTTTTTTTCTAARTAACAAGCAGCTTTTCCTTGGCACATACTTTATTTAGTCTCAGTTTTATTTGAATCAAACCAAAACGTTCTTACCTGGTCTTCACTTTCTATTTTGTCACTCACATCCTTCTTGCCTTCCCCATCTCCAATACCACAATCCTCAGAATCATKAAACTGTGTTGCTCCTTCTCCTGCTTCATCCTCGAGTAATTCTTTTGGCAGACAAAATCCCTACAAAGGCAAACAAGCTTTCAAACTCAATGCCAGGAAAAAAATATGTATTTTTTTGATGATCAAGAACATTCTATAAGGTGCTATTACACCTAAAATCTTCTTCCTCCACTTTAAAACACTGGGCTTCTTTCTGTAACATCTCTCCCCAGAAAGACTGAAATTTGCACAAGCTTTAATGCTACCTAGAGGGGAGGTGGTTCTTTAGAACAATGAAAAAAGAAAAAAAAGTTTCAAAATAGTCATATCTTGCACTGGTGCCCACACCAGTTTTCCACAACACACTTTCAAGTTATGTGAGCTACCAATAATGCTACTGAAGGAGGTAACCAAGAAGTGACAAGGACATATTTACATGTCAACAGTTATTAACTAGAGCTCTCTGTAGTAGATCAAGTACATCTTTTAGCTTAGTTTTCTACTTAAGACTTCTGTATATGTATGCTTACTCTCTACCCACTGTTACTTTCTGCTAACTTACCTTCTGGGCAAGCTCAGTAAATACGCTCGTCAGAACAGAAAGCAATTTTCCAGCACCCCTGTGTGATGCCAGTGAAACTGTGAGGTAGAAGAGGGTAAGCTCTGAATACTTGCACAGCATGGGCTTTAGACGCACAAGGAGGTAGCAGCACTGGTTGAAGAGCTGCAGTTCAAACAAAAGAAAAGCTGTCAAACAGTCATGTACATACTGAGACAGGTCAGAGGGTGATAACAGACTGAAAACCGTTGCTCAAACCAAGAATAATGGCACCTTTAGTTATAATTTCCGAAGTTCCCAAAGCCCTCTTCTAGCTTTCCCATTTCACAAAAACAAAACCTTTCCCCTCTTTCTACAGGTATATCTGCTTTTCATTTAAGAATAGTATCTACATTTGGCAATAATTTTTATAACCTCTGTAGTTCAGATAGTAAAAGAAAAGCACTGCACGTTTAACTGCCCAGGTTCACAGCTAAAACATTTGAGACTTTAAAGTCAAAAACTTTTAGGAAGGGCAGTTTTACCTTCTGTTTATCTGAGGTGTAATCTTCCCTGTAAGATTTCAGGTTCTCCAAGAGCTCTGAAACAGCTGAAATTATTTTCTGCACATGCAAAGCATCCAAATCAGCAGAGAGATCTTCATCCAAAAGCTTAGTTAAGTGTCCTTCTTTAAGCCTTTCAAATGAGGCTGCATCATCACCTATTACAACACAGAAAAACAAATGAAATCAAATTAGATGTTCTAAAAAGAACTTAAGCAAGAAAAACTATAAATTTCCATCCTATCTGTTTACATGGACAGCTCCTATCAAAATGGCAATCTTCTTGAGTACTATCATTCCAGCTGCATGATACAAGGTGTTTTTAGGGGTGCACAGCTTAAACTCTCATTTCCCCTTGACTAAATGCATAGACTTACYATTTTCCTCTGCAGATTTTTCTTCCTCTTTTCCAGCCTCCTGTTTTCTCTCTACCAAGCACTGGATGGCATACAGAACAGCATGGATAACGGTTTCAGCTTGTGCTGAGAAGTGCTCCRCAAACTCTTCATCTGACTCTTGATTCCCTTTTGAACCACAACACAAGCAGTTTTACTCAGAAACACATTAAATTACAGGTCACTTTCTTTTCCCCAAGCAATAAACATTACTTTACATGCTGAAGAAACTAGTCTCTTGTATGTGTTCAACTACATGGCTTGCAAAGACACATGACATACGAAGAAACTCAAAAAGTTTCATTRAACATGAAGGATCCTCACTCACAGTTTTCAAATTTGCTCCTGAAATAACCATACTATGATTAGTTATTATATCAGGAATAGAATGGGTCATGACACAGAGTCTGGGAAGATTTTGAACAGTATCATTTAGCCTGAATTTAAACAGCAGTGATAAGGGAATCTTAGCTCAAATGTTAGCTAAGTATACTCATTTCTCAGTAGCTCTGTGCTCTGGTCCTCAACAGAAAGGAACTTGTCAAAATGTCCRTAGTAATACTTACCAATCAAAAATACATATCAATACTCAACTTTTATATTTTCTCCAGTATTAGTACTCAGTGAGARGAAATATCCACAATACTGTGCAATCTTTGCTACAGAGTTCGACTGAAGTGCTCTTGCTAATTGTGACACCCCACTCCAGTCTAAGATCTGTCATGAACAGTGACTAAAGGAGAAAAATACTATGGCACAATTTAACCATGGACGAAACTCGGCAACTTTGAATTTCATCTTGAGTGGTTTTGGACATCAGATGCAACACACAGCACATCTTCTGTACTGACCAAGATAGTGAATTCTTTGTTCTTATTTAAAATGCAAAATTGGAGAAGAAATGTCCTTACCATCACTATTTGACATAGAATTAAGAAGCTGTGTTCTCCAGGCTTCGAAGTCTGTAGATGTTTTATTAACCTCCTCTTGGATATACCTCAGGCTCTTGATTAGTGCCATCTGATTTGCAACTTGCCTGCCTTCTCCATTTGGAAGAAATAGAGACTCTATGTCCTGYAACTGAGTTGAGACTTCGAGCAAACATTTCAAAGCTGACGTACAGACCTCAAAATCTTTCCTGTAACAAGAAATATSATAATGTCAAGAGAAGAAAGTACACTTCAACTTAATATCTTCATCTGAAACTTACCAAATAAAAACTTGACATTAAGCACAAGTGTAATTTTCAGTCAGTGTGAATGCTATAGTAAAAAAGTGTGTATTTTTTGGTCTTTACAAGCTATTGACCTTAAAAACAAGAGGATTTTTACATTTGAAATTCTCATCCTKATACAATAAATAAGGAGCTACAAGGATGAAATTCTAGGAGAATAAAGCAAATACTGAGAAGCTCAGATGGACCAATTTCTGTCCAACTTGTCAGGGGATTAGGGAAATGCATTCACTTGAAAAGCCAGACTGCATTTTGAAAGGAAAAGAGCATTTGAACAGCCTCTTTGAAGATAYATGAAGGCAAACATTTTCAAGATGACTTTACGCATCTTAAATGAACATATAGTTTAAAAAGTTGTTTTACACAGACACAACTTACCAGGAATAAAATAAGGTTTCAAATGACTGTTGTCTTATTTTGTCCACATCTGCTTTTATTGCCCTCACATTTGCCAGCATCGCAGTCAGTTGTGTAGCTAGCTGCAGCCATAACTGATCCCGATGTTGCATCTTGCACCCAGGAGGCAGTTGCTCTGCTGTTACTGGAGATGGGTATTTTAACTCTGCGGGAATTCGGTCAGGTATCCCCATAAAAACACTTCCCAAGGTCTGCTCAGGGCCTGTACTCTGAACAAGGTCTGTTTTGCCATCAGTCCTTTCAGTATCACTGCATTTCATTGACTGTTCTTTTGGGCAGCATTGTATGAACCAAGAGAGCTCCTCAAGCACCATCACACACTGCATGGAAAGTTGCTGCAGTCTGTCAGTCCACTGCTGGAAATTGTCCTGAGGAGGAAGCGCGACGCTGTAGTCTCGGTCAGCCGTCAACCTGGAATCGATCTCTTGTATGCAGCTCAGGAGGTTCCTGGTCAGCAACAAAGGAGGGAGAGTTACATAAATCCAACTGAGATTTACATTAKACGTCTCCTTTAGAAGTGCAAACTTCTAATGAGCAATCTGATGAGCAATAAAAGTCAAAGCAGTGCAACTAAGTGCCTTAATAACTTTCAATATTCCTGCAAGCGTAAGGATTTTCTTTAAACATTCCCTGTTCTAAAATAAACTTTACATTTACAAAATCTCCAATTGGGATCAAATAGTGTATGAAGGGAACGATCGCTGGCAAATTCATTAAGCTTTATGGTTCACTTCAGCAAGCAGCACAAKGATTCAGCAAAACCACGGAGCTTAAACAGGTGAGCAACAGATGAAGCATCACATCAACTAAAAAGATTTTATTGCAGACTTTTCCTTCTCAATTCAAGTATAACGTATCTCTACATTTGGGAAAAACAAAACAAAAATACACATCCCTCAGACTCTCTCAAAATTTTTCTTTGTAATATGCTGTTTTGTAATTTCCTGTAACGAATTACAGTAATTACTTCATGGTCTTCACACAGGCCATTTTTCCCCCCATTACTTTGATTCCAGAATGCTGACTGCAATGATAGATGACACCTAAAAACTTTTTTTTTTTTCTTGTTTCTATTGAAGGAATGAGATGTGATTCTTTCTACTTGATCATTTTACACTTTTCTTAAGCAGAACTGCCTATTGTAAAACCCCTTTCCAACATCCAGAAGAGTGTAACACTGAAACACAACCRTACCTCAGGATGACCCACTGCTCTGTCAGGGCAGTGAGCGCTCGTCTCTGCCTGGCGAGCACCTTCAGGAGGTGCGCAGTGAAGCCCTTGCACCGCTCAACRCTGCCTAGTCCAATGTCCTGAAGAAAACAAACATGGAGCAAAGGAAGGGCACAGTTAAATGAAATAAGCCAAGTGACATCAGTGTTCTTTACACCTCCATTTTATTTCACCGAGCAGGCTGGAAGGTCATGGTTTAACTGAGCAAGTCTTAACTGAGCAAGTCTTAAAAGCGCAGACAAAAAGTATAGTTGTAATTTCCACTGCCTTCCTTTCTCTGCATCCTCTTTCAAATAAACTGCACACAAATTTGATTTTCAAGTAGCTTCTGTCACAATCATACTAAATTGCAGCTCAACACAGCAATATTTCTTGAAACTATACTCACAGAAAGTAAAAATCTTAGAAAATTATAATTAAAAACCAAAAAAAACCCCACATTTGCTTAAGTTTTTAAACATGTAACTGCTGCTAAAAATCCCTTCCATAATTCTTTTTCCTAGATGTATCAACAATTAATTTCATGTCTTTGTTGAAAAAATTCTGAACAAAAACTTTGAACACACATTCACAGCAGTTAACAAAATGGACCATTTCTGCATCCAATCATTTATGCTGTGGTCAGCTGTGACATCTTTCAGAACTGGAAAAGATCCTTGTTTTCCTATAGTGTCACAGAAGGGTTGAGGCTGGAAGGGACCCCTAGAGATCATCCAGTCCAACCCCCTGCTCCAGCAGGGACACCCAGAGCACGGGGCACAGGGCGGCATCCATGCGGGTGAATACTCCAACTCAAAGTGATAAAGATAATGCCCGTAGGATGCCTGGCTTTAGCCTGACGTTTACCTTGGCAGGTGCTAGCAGTGCTGCCTGAAGCCTGGAGTGGCGTGCAAGCGACCGATAGAAGTACTTCTGGCATCCCTCCCAGGCAGAGCCGATCTCTGTCAGCAACCTGGAAAAGGTTCATATTAGAAAGGGACATGGCTTCAGTATCCCAAAACACTGGGAACACCAGGCTAGCTCTCCAACCTCTGAAAAAACTGCGATTTATTTTTATTTGCAAATTTAATTTTAAGTGCAAATACAAATAGCCTTGTAACTCTTCATTTTTGCTAGAGTACTACACATCTAGACATAAGAAAACACTTCTTTTTTCTCTCTCTAAACAAACCCTGTGGAAACTTAGAGTAGTAGCAATACCACATATGTCACCATGTGGCACTTAAGTAGTAAAATTTCATGCAGCTAAATCMAGTCTGACAGGGAAGCCTTTCTTTTGTACTTGATGAAGAGACAAGCTAAGTTCCTACATCTGGAGAGGTCAGTAATCAGCAAGTCTTCATGATATAAGATCAACTACTGCCTGAAAAACACTACAGAAACTTTTGAAAAAACACCATTTCAATATAGARAGTATTCCATAAATACCTACTGGGGAGTCCACTACGCTGTTCTCCTGAAATATTCCATTAACCGATGATAAAGACAGAATGTAGACAGTTAACAACCTCCTTATAGATGGGCTGTAGTTTAGAGGAATTTAGGGTTTTTTTTTTTATAACAAAGCTCAGAGTTGGGAGTTCTTAGAGTTGCCAAAAGCGTAATTAAAAGAAAACAAAAACATCAAAAAAATCCCTAATCTTTATAATAGTCAATCTTTATAACAGATATTAATCAGCTATGTGTGYGAGTATGTAGTAGACTTCCAAAGTGAGAAGTAATCTCAAAACAAAATAAATCCACAAAACCCATGAACACAAAGCCCTCCCTGAAACCATCCAAACTCGAGTAAAAGAGCAAACAAAATAAAACCAAATCCYACCACCTTACAGACATCTTTAAAACCCTATACTAAATGATTTAAAGTCCAGAAGTGCTCTAAATCCACATGTAATTAATCCTGTAAATTACAGCTGCACTTTATACAAAATAAACGTTAGAAATGCTGTGCACATACGTGGCATCCACTTCACGGGTGCAGTTCACTACAGACAAGGCATTATGCAAGTCCAGTGGGAGCAGGCAGAGTATTTCCCGATAATCTTTTGAACGGGACCAAGACAGACCTTTCCGGTATGACAAACCTGGAATGACATTTGAACGACATCTCTTCATGCCCTTATTCTTTTGTATTAAAAAAAAAAAAGACATAAGTCATAAGTCAATAAGGTATAAAGGTATGAAAGCTGCCGGTCTTTTTCATCTTGACAATCACATTTCGTATTTTCCTAATGGGAGAATAACACACAACTAACACATAACAGCAGGTTAACAAAGGCAGAGCCCAATAAGGAATTCAAGACCAGTGTCCAATTATATCACTGCAACATATCCTTCCTCCAGCATTAACTTCACAGGGTAGCAATCCYTGTCAGACACCATTTCTCAACAGTGGGTGTAGAAAAGCAACCATGCCCACACACAGGAAAAGTGCAGTGCTGCAAACATCCCTCTTACGCCTCCCCATGTTTGCAGTCTAAATTAAAACCTCAGTTTTCCAGTAACTACTTACTTAGCACACATATTAATTGATTTAGTAATACAAACTATATACAATAGTCAATATGACAACTTAAAACTCTCCCACAAAGCATTCAGAATTATTTTAATTATTTCTCAAATGCCATGACACAACCCCTTTGATTATACTAAGAGCAAACYTTCTTATTGGAATCCTTAAGTTTTCAACCTTCTGCTCCATGGGAGAGAGAGAAAAAAAAATACAATTTAAACAGTATTTTTCTTTCTTTTTTTGAGCTTTTCACAGCTTGAGGCCAGAAGCTATAGCTTCAAAGAGAAGAGTCAAAATGACAGATTAAATAAATAACCTTGCCAATTKTTATTTATTTTTAGCTTCTGCTTCTGGCTACAGTTTGGCAGAGCTGTCGGGCAGCTCACAGGCACTGAGACTGCATTTCTTTACTTGGCTTCTGAACTTTTCAGTAACTGAACAGCTGATGAGTAACTTAACACAACTAGAAAAGAAATGGAAACTAATAGCTTGGGTGGAGCATGGGTTGAAAACAACCAGCTTCCCTTCATTACCAAGAGCTGCACAGTGCCTTCTGAATAGCGATATTATAGACTGCTGCTTCAAAAAAATCAATTGTTTTACATATAGTGTAGTGGAGAGGAAGAGAAAGYATAAAGGGGACACAGGTCAGTCTCCCAGTCCACGGGGAAAAGGAAACAGATTCAAGTAGTACTAGGTATTGATGAATTAGTGRCTTCAAGAACATATTAAATATTGTGGTAGATTTACCTGTATTAACAGAAATGTAAAACGCTTAAGATCTTTGTATTTTTGAACTAAGTACAAACCTGTTTTAGCCAGGCTTTTAAAGAGTTCTGACAAAGCCCGTTGCTTCTGCATCTGGATATGCTTGGCCTCCGACTTCTGCTTCTCCTTATCTGCTGCCTGATTAAATGTTAAGCTCTGCAGTTCAACTACAGAATCAATGATATCACCTGTACAGAAGGAAAAAAAGAAAAAAAAAAAAAGGAAGTAATGTGAAACTTCAGCACACACAAACCAGTCATGGAAAGGTGGTCTGTGAAGGGATCTATATAGCTATATAGAAACTTCTTCCTTCTCTGTTCCATTTTTTTTTCATATTACAGAGGTCGTTTACGGTATAAAAATCTCAAGAATACTCAACCTGTGAATTCGTCCAGACTTTCCAGTAAACTTAAAAAGGAATTATTTTCCATAAGTGTTGTACACATTTTCTGCATTTTTTTGGTAAGTTTAGGCAGACGATACTGAAGAGATTCTGCATGCAACATAATCCCATCCTGACASTCTTCTGGGAGTCCCCTCTGAGAAAAAGAAGAAACAGTCTTGATTATATACACATACACACATAATGGGCAGACAGGGCAGCCTCAATCAAGACAACAGTAATTTGCAGCAAAAACAAGAGCAAAATTCTGCATTCACCTAAAACCCCCAAACCTGCTCAATGCACTCCTCAGCACAATCAGTACCAACTCTTGAGGAAAATCAGTGTATGCTCGTCAGATCTACATTCATTCTGAAAGCAGCCAGATAGATGGAAGATGCTCTGATCACACTCTTCATGGTTTGTCATGACCTCCTTCATAGAGGTTATCGCTGGTTCCTTCACGTTAGTTCCTTGGGCCTTACTTGTGCAAAGATGGTTACACTACCTTAAAACACTAACGCCCTCACAGTGCAAGATAAGAACACCTTATTAGACATAAATTTAATTGCCCTGCTCATGAACACTGAAAGAGGTATGTGAATAGAAATGATTAAGTGACAGCAATGATGCTGTGACACGTATGTCTGAAAGTGTTCAGCAGGGACTGTTCAACTCAAGGTCTCATATTTTTTCTTGTAGTTTCATAACGTCTTTGTTCATTAAACAAAGGATCCATTAAACCATCTTAATTATCAGTTACAGGTTTCTGGCTGGGAGGAGAGATAACTGCTTGGTTTCYACCTCTTTACTCTGCCCTCACGACTGTCACAGGCCAAGATCAAAACTAACCACCCTCCTGGTAGGGTAAAAATGAGCAAAACCCTGGAAACTTCCAGATAGGAGTAACTGAACATCCCACCTCCATCAAAATTCTGAGGAGTTCCAACTGGCTTCTCACATCTCATTAACAAAGCCTGATGGGTGTGAAATTAAACTAAYTCAGGAGGAAAATTAACTACCTTCCTCTCTGATTTGGACACCTTTATTACACACACAACAAACTGGGTGTCTGTAACTGCAGGAGGGGTTATCACATACCAGCTGAGAGAGCACCTACTCAAACATGTGCTTTCAGGCCCTAACCAGGATATGACAAAAGAGTGTATTCTCCATACAGCATTCCAGCTGAAAGAATTCTATATTTAATCATATATATATACATATGTATACACATATACATATACACAAATATTACACATATATGATCGTTTGCTGAGCCCCTGTTTGAAAGAATCTGCAGCTGAAGTCACAGATGCTTCAGATGATCATTTTGGGTGAAAATTTGCCCTTAATGCCACAGAACATTAGTTCTTGTCATTATTTCTGCTCTAGCTGGAGAGCTAGCGAGTTGTTGCAGATGATACTCTAGTTAACTTGACAAAAATATATAATGGTTATCATTACTGTATTATAGCCTATATTTGTCATTCTGTATTGCACATCTGCCTGCTTGTGGTATTCCACAGAGAACTGAACACACAAGAAAAGACCCAAAAGTTGACAAGCAGATAAAACTATGTTTTTTTTCCAGAATAAATCAGTGAAAAGCAACATATACATGGGGATACATAAAACATTTTTCCTACATATCAGTAACTAACTCACCTTATCAGCATCTGTTTTAGCACACAAAGTTTTTCTTATGGTGATGTTCAGCCTCTGAACTCTGGTCTCCGTGTTCTCAGTTTCCTCCTGCCTTTGCAAGCAGTCCAGCTGCCCCTCCTTACCACTTTCCACCAAGGCAGGCTGACATGGCTCATTGAGAACAACCTGGAACTTCTTCATGAATTTAAAAAGGGTCCTAGTTACCAAAGAAAAGCAGARCAGTTATAAAGCACTCTAATATCTGAAGTCTCCCTGATGCTCGAAGTATGTACAGTTTCACTATATGATGGGTTTAAGAAATATTCTAGTATTTTCAATTTAACCTCATACAGAGAACATCTACCAAGAAAATAGAAATTTAGTTACACAGACAAATATGGCATTTGATTAGTCCCCAAATGGCATTTTACTCCCAAGCTTTTAGTTACCTGTGTGTTTTTTCAACAGATTGTTTTACGGCCCAGAAGCTGACATCATTCCACTTGGAAATTTTCACAAATTCCTATTAATGAAAGAAATAATCAATGGGATCACTTACACAAATCCAGTAAGAGATTTGCATATGAAATATTAGCTTTAAAGTTAATGACCTATAAGAATCTGTCTTAAAATGCAAGACCTTCTATTTAGTTAGAGAGGAAATTATTGCATAAGCCACCATCTTCTATTAATAATGTGTTTGCATGTGTTAAAATGTTTGTGCTAAGGCCTCTACACAACCAACTGTGGTGAATACAAATGGGCTTCAAATGGGCTGGGTTTATATCCAGCCTTGTAAATCATTTCCTTGCCAAGGAAAAAGTGAAGTAGCACAAGGATTTCAAGATATCTACAAATTCAAGCACCAACTGCTCCACTGTTCATCGAATCACTCCAACAAGCTGTCCGAGTTAAGGCTTCTTTTACCTTAAGTTCCTTTTCTATAGGTTGCCGCAGTTCAGCGATTCTGGTCTCCACACACTCTGAAAACTGCTTATAATAATTATGTAGATTCCACAGGATGCTGCACAGGACATCTAGAAGGGACAGATAGTAACAAGCTTCTTTCAAAAAAGGACATTCCTCAGTACCAACAACAGAAACACAATCGGTTTCCTTGTAAACACAAAGACAACTTGAATCAAGGCATGGGGCAAACAGGCCAACAGCATTCTTGAAATGAAAGCAACAGTAGAAGCTTGGATTGCTCTTAGCAATCTTGGCAATCAAGCTCTCAATGTGCATGTAAAGTCTGGAATGTCTTGTAAAGAAGACTTAACACACATGTAATGGTACCAACTTACCYTTTCCTGCCACCTGAGGCATCAGCAGGACATGGCAGTGGAAAACCAGCAGTGCCTGAAGCCGTGTGTGAAACTCTCCCAGTGTAGATCCTTCGATGAAAGCCTGCAGGGTGCTGATCAGCATTTGGAGACTCATCTGCTCCGTTTCTGATTGTTGCCCAAAAAGATTAAGAGGAAGGAGGGGAGGAAGAAAAAAATCCACATAGAAAATGTTGATTATTATAATCTTTGTACACTTCTAGCTCAATATCAGGTCTCTGCTGCTAGGTAAGATTTAARAGAAACTGAGAAGCTTACTACACAAGGAAGAAACTGGGAGAGGAGAAAAAAAGAAAAAAGAAAAAAAAGAGAGAGAGAAAACGGAGGGGTGGATTCTAATCTTAAAATAAGAAGTAGCCAGAGGAAAAAAACRTATGAGGCTAGCAGTCTGACAGTGCATCGAGCAGTCAAGATTATTTGCTATTTTCTATGAATGAATGCCTTTCCTAGCAATGATGAGCACAAATTTGTTACTGCCAGTTCTTTAATTCCCCATAAACATCAAGGCAGAATCTAGTAGAGAAGACTGAATGTTTCTTTCATCTTTACGATCATACAACATTTGGAGGACCACATACTGAGAACAATCTTCCCCCTGAACTTGAACAGCTAGCKATTTGCTAGGCAAGCTATATCCCAAAAGCAAACACAGTGTAAGGTTTGTTTAAGCTTTGTTCAGAATGCTGAAAACACTTCAGMTAGGATGTAAACTCTGCTGCATGTAATAAGATTAAGCTGCACACAGAGGCTTCCTCCCTCTCACATCTCATTCTAAAGTACATATCTATGTGCCAGATTCACTGTGACCTGTTCTTCCTTTCTTGTGTCTCCTACAGGTATCTCCCTTTCTTTTCATTGCAGGTAATGTTAGCCCTATGAGASAAGTATGGTTTCAGAAATAAATACCAACTGAAGCACACACTGACTAGAATATCTTGCACTATCATGGAAGAGCTACATCCTTTAACTCCACTGTTTTTATGCCCTTACTTCGGCATCCTTAGCAATCGCTCATCCTGTACCACATTTTTATAGGAGGACAATATTTACCTTCCTCATTTCCTTCTGTTTGTTCTTGTACATACTTCTCAATCATCTGGTAGATTGAGAACCAGTGCTTTGTGGATTTCTCTACATGCTGCTTGGTAATATTGTCCAGACTGGCTGACCAGCAACTGGAAGCAAGAAGAGCACAAAMAAACACAGCAACAGAAATCAAAATRTTGGCAGTTTGGACTCAAACAACTGCAACTTTATCCTCAGCTTTTACTAAATTGAAGGAAAATTGGGCAGGATGAAACCATGTATATATATGCTTAAGATACACAACTATCTAAAATCGCTGCCTTCCCACTACTGTGTATATAGGAAAGAATACACAAACTAGGGACTATCAAACAAAACCAGAGRGGCTTAAAGCAAGCAAAGAAAGTCATTTTTCACAAAATGTGAGGTTCTCCTTCCACAAAACTTGAAGGAGACCTGTGGAATTCCTGTTCAAGGCATACTATGGATATGTAAATTTTACACGGTCTTATACCAGGAGACTGGGCAACCGTTCTTAAGGGAAATGTATCAGGGGTTATAAAGTATACRAACTGGCCCATGAACCCCAAGATGAAAACAGGAGAAGGGTGGGAAAACATGAGGATGAAGTAATGGAAACATTTGTCTTTCTCTACACCTAAGGCATCCACATATGCTCAGTAGGGAAAACAACACTACATGGACATGCATTTTCTGAGCTAACACAGGTATCCCCTTTAGTCTGCCCCACACCCAGATATCCACACAAAGGAAGATGTTCCACAGTTAAGGTAATATAGGCCAATAAGGCTCCGGAATGCATCTCTGTAATGAAAACAGGAGCCTACTGCTATTGCTTAGACATGGTAGGGGAGGGCAGTTCTTACTTCAGCTCCAGTTTACGCCACTGGATAATCAGCTGTGTAACCAAATCAAGATGTTTCCTCAAGGACAGAGCTCGACTTGCGTTTTCCTCCCAGTCCTGGAGAGAGGGRAAAAAAAAAAAAMCAAACCAAAACTTAACAAGCCATCTCACATCTTTGAAAGAAAATTAACCCTTCCCTGGCAAGACTCATTTAGATCTCTGTAGCATTTTCCTGTTACTTATATTTACATGCAAGTTCACCTATTTTGTGAAAGCTTTCAGTTGTTTTTATGATGATATCAATACAAATAAGGAAGCATAGAAGAGGAACTAAAACAGTTTCCTTTAGCACTGTTCATACCTGTGCCTTGGCAAGAAGGATTTCTAAGCCGTTCAGGAACTTTGAGAGAGGACTAGACAGTGGAAAACTCCGGATTCTGTCCATCACAACCAGCACCTACAGAATAAAAAATTAAGATGTAAGTTAAGTGTATTTAGATTAGTAAAATTTACCTCTGCAAGAGAAGGCCAGTGCTCTGGACCAAAGTGCACAAACAAATAATGCTGAGTTCCAGCTGATTCCGAGTTTATACATTAGTCTAAGAAATACAACAGAGCAAAGCTCCAGTTAAGTGGTACCAAGGATGTCTACTTTTAAAGCATCATAAAAAAAACCCCATAACATGAAAAATATGGCATTTTGGAAGAAAAACAGACAGACAAAAACCACCACACACATAGGAAAAGCCCTCAAAAATCTCTGAAGAACTGCAGATTGACCGACACTAAGATCAGAGTAGGCAACATATAGCATGTAGAATTCCATAAATGAATCAAATAGCTGAAAATTATTAGTATGTTTGAAGAAACAGGCATCATTTCAAAATATCTCAACAAAGATTTGTGTCTCGATGAATGAACATATGTATGTATGTGTGCTTGTGTGTATGTATAAATATATTTACACACACAACTACCAAATACTTTCTTGCACATAGCTGTTTTACTGTTTTTTTTTTCCCTAAAAACATTGTTGAAATGCTTTTACCTGCAGAAGTACTGGATGCTCAGGCCATTCCTGCAGTAACCTGTTCACTTCTTTAGCAAAATTATCAAGCACGGGTTGGCACTGTCGGACTTGCTGAATATTAGGATGCTGGTAAAAATCATATGGGCCCTCTTGGTGTAGCACCAGATCTGAAGTCACTTCCTCAAAAAAGGTGTTTTGTAGGAGGGTGCTAAGTAGAAGTTGGCTTCCCAGAAGACTGTCATTCAGTTCAGCACCTAAGAAGCCAAAAAGGACAGATATGCTATTCATTCTTTCTTCACTTAGGAAAAAGTTCATTTTTTTGTCCCTGTATCCTACTAGCATTATCCCAAACCTTATCGTGGTATGCATTACGAAGATATAAGAACATGCCACACAAGCAATGAGATAGAAACAAGGAGTACAGCACATACTTAAATTTTACATCCTCTGTTTTATTTTTGAACAAGAAGTGGTAACATCAGAATCCAGTGGATGCTGTTCCTCTTTTAATTCACAGCAAGTAGATTTACCACAAAAATATTACTAAGGTTCTGTGGAAAAAGTAGTCCAATTAAACAAATACATTACACCTGGGCAACAGACTCACAATGGGGAGACACACACACACACAGAGCTAATATAAAAACAGCAGGACCGGGGCCCTGCACATTCTTTCTTAACTGCTCACATACAGACTTACTAGATTAGAAATGAATTATTACTCTGTTCTGAGAAATGATGGAAAACATTAATCCTAATATGTGCTTTTCACACAAAATGGGTCAATGTTTTGAAGTAAAAAATGAAGTGCATATTAAAAAAATACAGAAGCTCTTTGAAAATTAATTTATGAACCTTAATTGAACRTTTTTATCTCTCAGAAATTTCTGCAAATTCATAGTCTCAAACAAGATAAAAATGTTCAAAATTTTGAATGAGGGAGTAGACTTAGTTAACCAACACAGCTGAAGAGAAAACAAGCCAAACAAAAATAAAACAACCCTTAAAAGACTAAAACATCCTGAAAGAATCCTGAACACAGAACAAGTTTTTTGGCAAAAGCAAGCAGTGTTTTTGTACATTTTTGTACATTTCTTCCATAGCACATRAACATTTCATGACTTGCAGTACAATTCATTTGCAGCTGATCAGTACAGAGCTGGAACCAAACGTGTGAAATGTTAGCAGCCTTACCAATCAAGGGACAGAAGTGTGAGACCAGGCATGCACCCGTCTGATAGCAGGCGAGAAACGTATTCAGATAATGTCGGGCTCCACGCGAAGGCAGACTCTGCTGATACCACAGGGATCGTGCAAAGTTCAAGCACAACTGCTGATGAACCATCATTACTGTCTGCATGGAGCTCTTGGACACAAGAGCTCTATCARCTTCCAGCTGGTCTTCTGACTCATCTACAGTTTCCATTTTTTCCTCTAGGCTTGGCTGAGCTGTGATATCTTCAAAGTCCTACAAATCACATTACAAACAACCGTCAGGTGTAACTCCTTGCTTTAACACCTTCTGGTTGTGGGACACACACGGTGAGGAGGTGGGTACTGAGGCAATGTGCTAAATCTTTGGAATTCCCACTGCATAAATACACTGGCCACCTCCCAGTCTGGTTGTCAATCTGAAACAGAATACCTCCCTACAACCCACGGATCCATAAAAGTGTCCCATGGATTTCTATACTGCATGCCAACGCTTGGGCAAGATACGGAGTAACAGGGTCCAGTCAAACAAGAAGCCCCGACATCTTCAGCTGCTTGTTCTACTAAGGACAGAGCATTCCCAACAGATGATAGAACAACAAAAAGGTTGAGGTTGGAAGGGGCCTCCAGAGATCATCCAGTCCAACCTTCCTGCTCCAGCAGGGACACCCAGAGCACGGGGCGGCATCCAGGCGGGTTTGGAAGATCTYYRGASAAGGAGACTCCACAGCCTCCCTGGGCAGCCTGTGCCAGGGCTCTGGCACCCTCACAGGAAAGAAGTTGTTCCTCACAGAGATGGAACTGCCTGTGTTTCAACTTATACCCGTTACCCCTTGTCCTGTCACTGGCCACCACTGAGATGCGCTTGGCTCCTTCCCCCCTACATTCTCCCCTTACACACGTTAATCAGATCCCCTCTCAATCTTCCCTTCTCCAGGCTAAACAAGTCCAACTCAAAGCCAAACAACGAGAGATGTTCCAGTCTCACACATCGCTCCTGTACTGGGGAGCCCAGAACTGCACCCAGTTCTTCGGGTGCAGCCTCGCCAGAGCTGAGTAGAAGGGCAGGATCCTCCCCTCGCAGATCATACAGCCTCAGCAGACCTTACTCGCTACATGAATTGTTTGCAGAATTCTACTGCAAAAACTGAACATTGTCATCGTGGGGTCACATGTCCTAGGGTAACYCAGCAGAAGCACGGGAGATTTTATAACAAGGAAACACATCCGGAGCCTTCTACAGACAGAAGGGAAAGGGAACAAGAAGAAATTATTGTTCCAATACATGACTAATACCCTTTTATTTGAAGATCAATCCTACATTTTCTGTTTTTGCYAAAATAAATTTATCATTACATTTTATGTATAAGGCATATTCTAGGGAACTATTATACGCATAACCTTTATGTTTCTTTGCAGAGTCCTATTGTTACCTTTCCGTGAAGRGGAAATCTCCTTCTGAATTCTTTTTCTTCCTCTTCTTCGCTCTGTTCATTTCCATGGCTTTTACTCCTGTATCTGTAGGGACAGTTCTCCATTGCCTCCTGCTCTTGAGCACGGCGTTCCTGTTCATCCCATTCGTTTATAATGGCCTGAGGAACCATAAAGCAGCACATGTTACACAAATTAAAGATTACACATTTAAGACTACATCACACCTCACTGCTGTGCCAGAATCTATCTTGTTTGGCTTTTTTATTTTTCTTTTTAATACCTATATTAGGTCTGCAATAGTATAAATAAAAGAATCAAAGCCATCAAAGCCATTTAACTTGAATGAAGGTTAGGTTGTGCCTTCAGCAAACTAACAAGGAAAGAGCATTGGCAACAGTATGCAATACAGAATCCTGCTCCAAGTTCCAGTTCCCTATTTTAACTCTTTTATAGAGAAATTCACTAGAAAGTTATTTAAATAAATATATATATATATATAATATGCATACACACACACTTATTAGACAACCACTTTGACTTTACAAGACTTTATGCCTTGAAATATCTGGAGWTGCTAACAAAATATGCTTAATAATAATTCTGTGATGGGAAGTAGGACTGGGAGACAACTTCAAGAACTTCACACTGACATTTACCCAGGTAGGTTGGTGCAAGGACTCTAGAAGAGCAAGTCAGAATGCTGCCCTACTTCCTGGCCATTACACTTCAGATGTTACCTGGCACAGATGCCTGAAAAGCTGCAGGGATTTCTGGTCCATCTCTCCTTTCGACAGGACGTGGCACCGAAGACGCAGCAAAGCATTCACCAGCAGCTGCTCCAGAGTGGGGCAAGGCTTCTGCGCTCCCTCCGAGCCTCCTTCAGGCTGCTTCAGGGAAAACTTAAGCCCGTTAAGGACCTCAACTGAATTCACGGAGCATAAAGTCTCTGCGTGAGCCAAGTAAGTGGGGAAGGTGGGGCTAACAGAAGGAAACGCCAGCAAAGAAGTGAGGAGGTTGGCAAGATCAGTGGGACAGACGAGGCTGTTGAGCATCGCGTAAGCTTCAAAAGCCACCAGCCTCATGCCRTGTTGCAACTGTAAGATGGCAGATTGCAGCGGAACGGTGGCATCCGGGAACACGGCATAGTCCTCCGCCAAGAGCCTCCTGAACTGGTGGTGTGACTTTTGCCAAGAGGCTTCTTTATCTAARAGCTTCCGTATGGCCTGGAGGGACTCGGGTCTTTCCCCACGGAGCAACTGCAGAAGGCGAGCCAGAAGATCCTGCACTGCAGAAACCTGTGCAATGCTGTTGATGTACTGGTGAACTTGCTGGTACAGGCAGTCATAGGCAGGGGCAGGGGGCCTGAACGCTTTCTTTCTGGAAAGACTGGCTATCTGCTCCTTCAGCCTCTGCATTCTTTCATGCAGCAGTCTGTTAGGAAATAAAATTGACCAGTTTAGAAACATAGTGTAATAAACTTGAGTATCTCATAGACTACACAGTAATACAGTGGAAGATACACCACCTATACTTGGCTGATTTGTGAGAGAGTGCAAGTTAGGAAAAAAACCCACAAACATGCAGTACCAGTAGGGCAGGCAGGCACCCTTCCCCTCCTCTCTCCTCATTTTTCCCCCTACACTTTTCCATTAAAACTCAATTGTGACTTTTTGACTTTGTGACTTGCTTTTAACTTTTGACCTGACAGCTGTATTCTAACTTGTAAGATACTTAATTAGGTGACAGCACCATAGGCAAGCATGATGTTCAATTACGTGCTATGCAGACTTCACTAAATACAGTTTGACCTCAAGCTCAGTAATTTAGCACTAGTTCCTGCTGAGACCTTTAAGGGTTACAGTCATAGATAACCAATCTCCATTCACTTTGTTAACAATCTTATTACAATTTAGCAAAAGTACCATATTTAACATTAGATGTATAACTTGATTTTCAGCCCTGAGCACAGCTTCAGTTTTATGACAATAGGAGGGTCACAGGCACAGATACAGCTCCCAGGAGAAAAGCATTTACATACCCACAATTAGTGGGCTCACACTGTATCAGTTGTTATAGAAAGTGTGTAGAGACAATTCCTTAGTTACTGCAAGCAAATCTCTACAGGTTCTGCATTTTTCTCTATGACATTTTTATCAGCAAATTACAACTTTCAAATCAACAAACATAGTGCTAGTCTGTCAAAGTTATCACTGAAAATCCACTCAGAGCATCCATATATGTGATTTCCAATCTAAACCAAGAGAATCAAGTGCCTGAGATACTACCTGAGATGGGGATGAATRTAGTTGCAGATTCCTTCATCTCCAATACTTTTCCCTGTGTGTAGTTGGGATGACAAATCATTTGTTTTCCATTCGCACTCCAGTTGATGCAGCTAAAAAGAAAAGAACAAACCCTTCTCTGAAGTTCTGGCTTTGATAACCCAGCAAGTACATCCTCTTCATGGATATTAAAAGAGCTCCTATATAGTTCAACAATCATGTTTTAAACATCACAAGCTTGCACCTTCACAGGATTTACGCAAGAACATCCAAAACAAACTCCATTTCATTGAYGTTGTATCCGAGTGTTAGAAGCCAGCTCAATTCCACACTCACCTCTTCTCTGGCATACTTGAGTTTGTATTCTCTTTTCACAGCCGGATCAAAMCGAGTCTGTGGAAGCCACACCTGGATCTGCAGCAAGCCAATATTCACCCACAGGCTTCCTCGCCAAGCTGTCTCTGGGAGCTCCTTAAGCCCTTCCCCAAAGAACTGCCGCAAGCAAGTGTGCAGGAGAAAAAGGACTTCCTTAGGAAGCAATTCCTGATCAGCAATGCTTCGGAGTATCTTGAGAAGATACTCATATGCAATGGGATCTTTGCATGACAGATTCTCACAGCACTCYGAAAATTTGTCTTGTAACTCTATTGGAACCAGATCTACCAGGGCAGAGAGCAGCCTAGCCAGCACTATTCCTTGTAGTCTGGAATCTGTGTATCTGAAAGCACAGAAATGAAAGAAGAAACAAACACGAAGTTGACCTCTGGTAAATAAGCTTCTTCATACCTAAGTATACCTAAAGTATACTTAAGTATACCTAAAGTCTGCTGTTGAAGAGACAGTCAGGTTGGTCCACAATGTTGCGCTGACTTCATGAAGCTGTTGTGCTCTCTCCATCCATTCTCCCAGTGTCACATGGGATGAGGACAGAACAGGAAGCCCACTCACATCCCACTGGCTTGTCTTGCTGCTGCTAGTTAGAATTTCAAAGAAGCACTTTGAGAAAACTGCTCGGGTCAAAATACCTGGGCCCTAAATTAAGAGATTAAGAGTTAGATTGTTCAGATGCAACCTGCACTGATTATGCTAGAGTTTTACTGTATGTTTTAGAAAGCTGTTGAATTGCTTAGTAAAACAGCCCTCAGCCTAGCTACTTGATTAGGTCAGAATAGACAAACCTTCAGAGAACCTCCATAGTTCATATGGGATTTAGGAAAGTTCTCTTCCTCTGTCACAGGTAGTGGTCTCCAGGTTAACCAATAGTCTGGATCAGATACAAAAGTGCTGCTCCAAAAGGATGCCAGCACAGCACTAACTAGCTGAGATGACAGAACAGACATTTCTTCGGGGCATATCTAAGGAGAGAGGAAAAAAACAAGAATCAGGAGGATGACATCTAGAAGGCAAATGAGAATCAGCAGCAATAAATGAGCAACTGTGCTCTTTTCCAATAGAGAGAGTACAAGATTCCCCTTAAAAATCTTTTTGCGTTTCACCTAGAGTTTGCTTGCCTTTCTCCCCAACATGAACCCAGGCTCACTCCCTCAGGCCTGCACTGGCTCAGCTTCCTTCTCCGTGTGTGGAACAAGCAGGAAGTTGGCAGTGCGAGTGCTCAGCACACTGCATCTATTCTGCAGTTGTGCAGCCACATGTTATGTTAACACAAGTTTAAAAGACACACAAAACTAAACGAGATACCCAATATTCTGCCCAAGAGAAGCCGAGAACTTGCTGTGTGCTGAACTGCACGGGAGCACAACAACAACGGGAGCCACCCCACTATAGCTAAGTACTAGCTGATCAAATTTTCTGATACATTAAGCTGCTTTAAAGGATACACATCATACAATCAAATGAAAACTGTACCAAAAAGCAACACAGATCTAAACAACTGAAGCAGAGACAAATATTTCAAATTCTTCAGCATAAAATTATTTTGAGAAGATGTAACCAGGCTGGTAGCCACCATTCAATCTTATGTTTTTTATTATTACATGGATGAATGAAACAAAAACATCCAATTATATTCATAAGTATATAGAGATCTAAGATTTTAGACTTTGGAATGCTTAGCATTGGAGAATTTTTTGCATGCTTATAGTTAATACGTTTTTCTATTCTCATTAAAAAACAACTGAAACATTTGTTGTCAGGCATAGGAAGTCAGTACCTTACGGAGACATAAGCATTTTGAAAATTCTGGAAAAATCTGCAAGAACTGAAGCTTGTTCTTACCTCAGGGAGGTGCAACAAGTGCCACAGTCCAGACAACTGGTGAGAAGCAGCCGGTGTTAATCTCAGGGCAAAAGCTATAAGCTGAGATAGATCTGAACACAGGCGTAGTTCTTGACTGCAATTCGCCCTGTAGCAGAAAAGAAAAAACACAGTTCATGTAATGCTTAACCCAGACAAGTACAACAAATCATTTGGACAGTAAAACAAATTAATCAGGACAGGAGTCACAAGAACAGTGAAAATTAGCCAGAAGGCTAAAATGACAGCATTTAGACACTGGAGAAGAACAGACACTCTACCAGYACTCTAAAAACCTGGATTCTGCAAAGCCAGCAACAACTAAATTCACAGCTGGAGGGTAAAGAAACAGCATCTTCCACAGCTTTAAGCTGTATAGTCAAAAAACAACCACCACCACCAYTCACAAAACATTCAGAGACCAACTGCCTTACTTTACAGTTCCTCTTGTGTTAGAGCTTTTTTTTTTTGCGCATTTCAGAGGCTGTATCAAGTGATTTAAGAGCTTCATTGTATAAAATATTATTTTCACTAAAGTCTGTAAAGCAACRCAGCTACAAACATCCTTATGTCAATTCCTAATATGAAGGACCACTGTTTCACTAAARGGAAAATATTGCCAGGTTTTAAGGTTCCTCAATTGTAGTCCACTCTACAGTTCAAGCTATTTCTGGAGTCTAATGTTTTTATTCCAAAGGGTGTGGGCATCAAAATTCCCACATTTGCATTAATAAAAACTAGTTCAGTGGAAGAAAACTGCTTATTTAACATACCACTTAACAACTCTTCTGCCAAAGCATTTTATAACTGTTCAAGTCTAATTCTGCATGCAGACAAGGACTGTTTGGGCAATTATATACATAAATATAGGTGTGCACACACATGTGTACATGCATATATGCATAYATACATGCACATACACACAGATTTACATATTTTATAGCTAAAGATTCTGAATCTTGTGAAAGGAAGACAGCATTTTTCTTTTCAACCTTGTTACCTTCTCACAGAAGCCTTAGCCATATAATCAGCTGTCAGCTTGTACTGCCACATGGTGCCCAGGAACTCCATTGCAGGCCACAGCTGAACCCTGCTGCAGAGCTGGATTAACGAGGCAGGGTCTAACTGGTTGGAGATACCATCTTGAGCAAACATTTCTTCTGAAGGGGTACGTACAACTCCTGCTGCTGTCAGTTGTGAATGCACAGCTTTCAAAAAACTCTTCAGGTCACCTGTTTGACAGGGGGCAAAAGGCACATAAATGCATGCACTAAATCTTTTGGCAGCAAAYATTTCACATTTTTATATGAAAATACCTACCCAGATGAACATCATCTAGATGATTAGCTCTGAGTATCAGGCCCTCAGCTTGCAGCAGTGCTTTCTTTATCTTCCATCCGGTGGCAGCAGTTTTCAGACAACACATTTTTTCCTGCCACCTCCTGCTTCCCAAGGCCAGTCTTGGCTCCACGATGTTAAGTGACTTGCTGAGAACTTTTAGCTGAGAAAGACACTCTGCGCCCAGTTTATCCTAGAAGCATGAAGAGGACATTTGAACAAGTGGCAAGTTATCTCAACAGTGCTAAGAAATGAAATCGGTGACTGCAGTCAAAAGTTTTAGGGAATAATTCATATTCACATGTCCCACTAAAGCCTAGGCACACACAAATCCATCTGCAATGACATTCATAACTTCACAACAATTCATTTTAGCCTTACTCAAAAGTGCAGGAAGACAGAAGTGACTAAGAGCAAGCAATCATATTTTTGTGCTTATCGTTAGATAACAGGCAATTAGATAACAGGCAAAAAACCTCACAAAACAAACTGCCCTGCTTTACAGCTCCTCTTGTGTTAGTCAGAACTTCTTTGCATTTCAGAGGYTGTATCAAGTGATTTGAGAGCCTCATTGTATAAAATATTATGCATTAAAAAGCATTTGGACAGCACTGGAAATCCAACTCTTTTGCAAAATCAGCAGCAATACCTTAAAAGGAAGCGGTCTTCCTAGAGACTTCTGCAGTATCTTCACACTGGCACAAACGCTGGCAGGACTGGCCAAGCAGCTCTGAATCTGCAGTGAAACAGACTGGATTTCTTTTGAACTCCTTGAGGAAGAAACAGCAGGAATGGGAACAGTTAGCCCAAATGTTTGAGGGAAAATAAAAAGGGCAAAAATAAATAGATGAATAATAAAAAAAATTCATTCTTCTTCACCAAAATGGCAACCTAATTTTAAGGAAGAAGCAATGGATAAAGACTGTAGATAGAAATACATGGCTAAAGAGAAGCCCTATACAAAGAAACCCAAGTTTTAAGTGATCAACTATTTAACATAATGTACTTACGTCACTAATGAAGTACAACCTGGACATTAGAGGCAAATATTACAAATTCTAACAGGAATATTACTAATCAGAATTACAGCATAAAGATAAATTAGGCAACCACATAACATAACCACAAATCAAAGCCACTTACTTGTGCTGTTCTGATCCTATAAGCATCTGAGGAATTCTGTCAATCAAATGCTTCATAACCCAGTGCCAATGGAGCGACAGAAGGGACAATCCTGGTGAATCCACTGTCACCGTGTCAGACACTGCCCAGAACCGGTCACGCCACAGCAAGCAATACAAAATCTACAAAAAGCCAAAAAGGTTCCAGTTTCCTGTTGCTGAGCCCTGCACGCTGTCCTGCGAGCACTTTGTACTTCAAGCAAGAGGGAACAYAACACCACTGTCAGTTCCATCAACTGCAGAATCAGCGGCTCRCTCAGAGCTGCACACCGAGCACCCAACTACATGTCCTCCAAAACATGGGGTGCGTCTGGTGGCTGGGGAACTACTCAAGTCAAAAAWGAATATGCCAAAAGTTTATGTCCAAAGAAATCCAGGGGCCCAGCCTCCAGGTTGGGTTGCAGCAAAGTGACCTTGATAGTCTGAGAAGGGAGAGGGAGAAGTGACTTCTCCCTGCAGCCTGAATGTTGCCTGTCCCATTTAGTATCATCCTAAGCAGGTAGAGAGGATTAGATGATAAAGCTCAGCCATGGACACCTACGTGCCAGGTGCTTGCGTTTCAGCAGGCTGGCTCGCATCCCATAGGTATTAGCAGAAACAGGAGGTGCTGCACAGATACGGTCACTGGAAGGGAGCAGCATGTGACCATCTGCCTGGTGTTATGCACATGCTATATATTAACAGAAGCACTGCTGTTTGGCATGGCCCCTGACAACAGAACAACATTAATAAAAAAAAAAAGTAATAGGAAGAATGTACTCACATCATGCAGGTCATCATCACTCAGGGCCACCTGAGTAGTCTTCACCCARTGAACCATAAAGGCATCCCAAATCTCAAAAAAAGCAGCAAGGTTGACCACGACGGCATGAGGAAGGGCATGGTAACTTCCTGGATCTGAAGTTTGGAGAAGAGGAAAACAAAGACTGAATATTCCAGCCACATATCATGGCAATGAAAGACTTGTTTCTGGCCAGTAGATCCTCTCAGTAACTGGGGCCAAACTGAGAACATCCAAGAATCAAAGTAACAAAATATTCCTTCACTGTTTGCACGATTCTCTATATATTTAATCTAAAAAAGTAAAACACTGCTCAGCTGCTTCTATCAACACAGTAATTTCATCAGTAAGCTTTCTTTTTCTCTCCCTTTGTCTTAAAAGTAAATATCCTATTATACACTAAAACAATATAAAGATATGGAACAAAACAGTTTCTGAAGAATTTTGCTATTTTTAACATCCAATGACAGATGACAGATTGCAATCATCTTCAAGTTTAGCTGTTCACAGAAAAATGATATGCACAGATGATCTATCACTGGCAGCATATATATGCTGTAGCATATGATATATCTAATTTAGGAATAATTTATATACCATTTTTGTCTTCATTTGACTGCTTTACATTCACACAGTCTTCACACTTCCTGGACACTGTATGTTCAAAGTAGCAAATTTCCTAACAGTACAATTAATTAACCATATTTAAGTTTGATGATAACACTGATGATAACAGAGTAAGCAAACAAAAAAAACCCAAAACATCAAGCAACAACAAGAAACAGTGACAATCAACCCCACCTTTATGGAAATCCAGAGACATTCTTAAGACACTAGCTCTTGGCTCCTTGATGGCAATCAAATTCTTCTCAGTATAGCTCCTTTTTTCTYGGTCGAGAAATAATACTGCTCTGAATTAAAATTAAGACATTAAAAAAAAGAGTTAACTTTAAGCCTTATTAGAAAAGTGAATCATAAAGTGAAGGTGACATTCCATTTATTACAAAAGAAGAATGGAGTGCGGCCCAACTAATTGCGTGGCTACAGTCTACACAAGTTAGGACTTATGTATCTATCTATATATATATATATTTGGGCGCATATGTTTATATATATACACACACACACACACTTGGGCAAAACCTCTGCCTGATATTTTAGACCAGATCTGACAAACTGTCAAACAAACTTGGCAGAAACCACAACTCAAGCTGTTCCTGGAACGTACCGGTTTGCTGCCGACTTCAAGAGGATGAGAAGCTGATCCGTGTGCTCCATTTCCGAGTCAAAGTTCATCGAATTTCTAATTATATCCAGAAACTGCATATTCCATCTTGGGTCCAGAGGCATCACGTGCTCATCTAGGAAGGCAAAACGTGAGCAGACAGGACAGCAATGGAGACACTCAGTAAAAGACTTGCTTAGGTAGTAGGGAGAACCAAGAAAGAATATTAGAAAAAGAGAGGGAGGAAGGCAGAGTCTTCAGCTCCCTCACTCCACATACCCTAACGTACAAACAGTAAGTTGACTGCAGATCATGTAAAACACAAGGGTAAAAATAAATTTATGAGTAGTCACAATACTCAGAAAGAGAGCATGGAAAGATCCTGTTTCTCCACACTCCAGGCAAGATATCTAGCACAGTCCAGAAAGTGTCACGATATTTAGCTTTCATGTACCTAACACTCTGAAAAAGGGAACAATGGGCTGAGCTCCCTGTAAAACATGGGGAAAATTAAATGCCTCAGCAGAGGTACAAGACTAGTTCTGTGCATTTCTCAGGAAGGGYTGCAGTGTGTTCAGAGAACACAAAGCACTAAGGTCTGGCCTCAAGTTCTSCAGAAGTACCTGTCATACTTGGCTGTAGCAACTTGATCATGTTGCTGATTCCAGATGAGAGGGGACTGGCGTAGAAACTGCCAAGGGCTACAGCACCCGCTTCCAACTGGACACGCACTGGGCCTGGGGGTGAAGAAGAAGGAAAGGGAAAAGAGTGTAGGTATGAAAATGTGTTTAGTACAAATGGACAAAATTAACAAAATGAGCCAGCACAAGCAGCATTAAGTTCATCTGTGTGTGCACGCTGGACAACTTCTGGTTGCTCTCATATTGGCTCCAAGAGACCTTGAAAATGGCCAAAATACCATAGCCAAAAAGACAAGCCCAATAAAGAGATTAAACTGCTGATACTTTTCATATGCTCTTTGCAAAAATCCATTACAGTTTACACCTTCAACTCTTAGTATGACTTTTTTTAAGCTGTACAGACACATCTGCCTAGATGTTTAATATGATTAATGAACAACGAAGGCCATCTCTTGTCCTGAATGTTCAGACAACACAGCTTCAGTAAATTTCAGCTCTTCAATACCTTGCTTTTCTAACTATTGAGAGTTTAGAATTAAATAAATGTAGGGCATTCTTTTGTTTTTTCACTATTGCTACCAAAGATGACAGTGAGGAGAATTGCTCATTTTCCTATATAAGTCAACAGATAGCTGTAAAAATAACTGCAGTTCCAAAGGAGCATCAGTTCCACGTGTGCTCAGTTAAAAACAGGAAACTTTTATCTCAAAGTCCTCTCTTTACCCCAGTCTGCACAACCTGTCTAACTCAAGATCTATGAAAACACAACAAATCATCCTGAAGGCAAAAGAGAAAAGTTAAATAATTACCCACCAAGACCTTGTGGCAGATTCTTTGCCAAGTGGTTAAGCCATTTAACCCTCAGTGTCCAGTCGTGATTAGTTGCCTTTTCTATGAACRATTTAACTGCAGCCCGGAGGACCTCCATGTCCTCCAGCCAGGCAGCAGCCATCTCCACAGGGCTGAACTGCAGGCTCTCGGGATTAGTGGAGTGCATAATTTTCTGCAGATCCTGCATCGTCAATGGCAGAGTCCTAAAACACAGAAACAACTGAGGATCAGGAAATAAGGACTCAAATTGCCAGCAGCAGAAAATAATCCATTCTGTAAGTCAAGTTACTCACCATGCAACTATTTTTAGGCAAGGAGACCACAATTCAAAAAACCTCTTACTTAGCTYTAAAGCCGACTTCTAACTTTAAATCAGTCTGAGGTGCCTACTACTGTGTCAGAAATAACATGACATTTCACTAAGAAATTATAGTTCAATCTGTGCACTAGAACGAGGTATAAAATAGGTTAAAGAAGACAAAAGTCACACTGAAAATTTCTTTTTCCTCTTCAATTTTACAGTTTCAACATTAAATCTTAGCACCAGCTTCTATAGCTTGTTCAGTCACTGGACAAGCAAACCACAGCACTTGCCCCACAGTAGCTCACCAGGCAAAGCACGTAGGAAGTGAGATTTTGAACCAGTGTCGTGAAAGCAACTGTAGTATGGGGCAAGAAGCAGACAAGAAAATTGACAAGAAAAAGGAGTTCTTACATTCAGCCCCTCCACATGAAGCTTCTATGAGGAAGGTTTGTTGGAAAATGAAAGTTTAYTTTGTATTTGAAGGCATCTGGCCTCAACTGCATCATGAATAAATATTTTAAAACACTGCAGTTAGTTGTTTTTGCCCTTTGTTCTCATAGGGAGAATAACTCRTCTCGTACAAAGTAGTGCTACCTGGACTTGGAAGCAGAAAGCACGAAGGCTCGTGAATATACCCAGAACYGAAGACTCACTTTTATTTCCAAGGAAACTGAATTAGGAAAACTCTGGGGCTCTTGTCAGCTTGTAAAGCCAGTGTTTACATTCAGATTTCTTGCGAAGTTCCTAGCCCTAAGTCAGTTCAAAATGAATCAGGTATATTTAATAATTTGCAGACTGAATAAGTGTGAAGAGTTTTGGACTGATGAGTAACAGCAGAGAATTAAACTTCTGTTTCCAGTGGTKAGTGGAAAGGTAACAGCACCTTCAAATTCAGACTGCAACAATCACAGTCTGCTTAGAATACTGGCTCACAACTGTGGCTTGACTACTGGCTTTGCAGGGAGTGATAACACAGTACTGATATTTCACACACCAGTTATACCTCATTTCTTACTTATTCATTAGACAAAACCAGCTTTCCTCTTGCATACCTGCAGGTTTTAAKGGTCATTCTGTTCAGACAGTACATTAGGACCTGCCCGTCACGCCGCACTGTTGAAAGGAGAGAGTCTTCTGCTGCAAACAGACCCGTAGGTAGCGAGTCTGGCCACAAGCCCATGGCTAGCAGGGAGTCGCCCCAAGTTTCTTGCGACGTTAGAGATGAAACGTGCCTCGTAACTAGATCCAATACAAGCTACAACAGACAAGCAAAAGGCAGGTCAGAATCCCAGACGAACATGTGTTCTAGTAGAATAGCTCTGGAAATCCTTCAGTCATACACATATATATTACTATAAAGCAAAGAATATAGCAGCACTGTATCATCTACACCACCAAGGACCAAAACACTTCAACCRTAAGTGAAACGGCAGTAGTTTGGGACATAACAATGATACAATAATCAAATACAACAATGTAATGTACAACAGTTGAATAACAATCATATTACTGTGTCTAGATGACAGTGTGCACAATTTTTAAGGTTATGATTTAATCTAAATTAATATCCCTAAATCTTAGCTGAAGCTTAAGCTTGTTAAAACACAAGTTCACCTTAGACTTCACCTGGGACGTGCTTTGGCTTCCTTACACTGCCAAAGTGTGACCACTGGCTACAGCAGAGGGTACAGACTATATTTATCCCCTGGGAAAGATGCCAGTATGCACATTTCTGACTGAGAGTTTTCATGCAACTCACTAATCTGATCTCTGTCCACTCAGAAAACATATTAAGAAATCAGAAAAAATTACTGAAATTCATCATTCTTCACCATTCACCACAAAAGGACCTCTGGAGCAGCAACTCCCTGTAAGCACATGTTACACCAGTACTGCTGCTGCTTCCACTGGAGGCAAGAAAACCACAGAATCTAAGAAATACATATAAAGATACAAAAATCTCACTGACACTTAGGCCCACCTCTTCATTTCCTGACAGATGCCCAAGGCAGCATTAAAAATATCAGCATCTCTTCAAGAGCATTATCTGCACTAACCCCTTGCTCAGGCATTTAAGAAACAGGACCTCAAAGGCTAACTTTCTAAAGTGGTACTTTGTGCAGATCTAGGAGTACGTAAGAAGAACTTCTAATTTCAAAATCTTTACCTTCTGATTAACTTGTAATTGTTGTGAGCGGCCATAAACTTCCCAACAAGCTCTGTAAAACGACTTCACTAATCCAAGGCCTCTTTGCAGCTGCTGCACAATTAATGCAGCAGCATGAAGCAAAGGTGACAAAGATGACACAGAACCTGAAAGAGATTCAATATTTGGGTCGATATGAATGTTTAGCCATCATCAGCACTTTTACCCTCTGAAGACATACAATGTTTTTGTAGCTCTGAAAGATCTGTAGTGAAACATATTGGCTTTTTGGATTTGAATAGGTGTTTCAAGGCTAGTAAGAAAACATGACAAGACTGTAAAATAGCACGTGACAAGCTCAAACCCATGAGAGTGTCACAGAGCAGCAGAGATGGATGAAATTCATGTCTTTAGGCTCCCATGTCTTCTTTAAGTGTAAGATTGTTCAACAACTAAACAAAAACACACCCCTGTACCTTGAGCCAAGAGCAGGCCTTGTGCAAGCTTTAACCCTGGCTGATTTTCACTAGGGACCCCTGCACATATCATGCCAGTGTCTGCTATCTCCTCAGAAAAGAACCCCAGTTCCCACCTTTTACAGTATCTGGGGCTATTTCTTGAGAACATTAAAGAAGAGAAAGTTTCATTATACTTGGGTGACTTTATAGCTGCACGTAACAATAAGATAATGCCATAATATTACAAAAAATAATGCAAATATAGGTAATGCACCCAACCTGTTGTTACCACAGTACTGAGCCAACTCTTCTTACCGGGTATGGCCTCCCTGGTCTCGGAATGCACAGCCAGCAGCGCCGCACAGACGCTGTCTCCCACCAGCCCCATGCCGTGCAGCAGCAGCTTCACATCCACGCTGTCCAAGGCATTTCCATCCGTCTCCCCAGGAACGTAAATTTCAATCCCCCGATTCCGCATGGCTCTGGATATTTCCCCGTGAAYGGGATCCATAGAAAGGAAAAGCCTGTCAAATATTCATAAGACATTACTTAGAGCCYGAAATGATCAATTGGAATCACCAAATCTTCCAGGAATGCTGTAGAAAACATAACCATCTTCATAAAAAACAGGAAAATAAGCTCTAGAATGTCAGAGACTATCACCAAACTGAGAAATATCTAAGTATAATTAGAGGTTGAATCTGGCCAGAGGTACATAGCATGCTTTCTTCTGAGCTATATTTTCCTCAGCGATATCAGTGTTCCCCTTGTCTACTTACAAGCATAAAAGTTAAACCTACACCTCTGGGTTGTTTTTTAAAGGGAAGACTTCTAGAAGTCTTAGCATCAGCTTCAGATAAACCTGCACTTAAATAAAATCTACACTTAAAATAAAAAAACAAAGCATGCAATGTTTAAGTACTTAATACTACCCACGAGTAACTCTAAAAATTAAGGAAACCAAATTCTGAGACACAGTGCAGTGAAAACAGGTTCTGAAAAGCAGGAAGTCTGTCTCCAATTCAGAAGAACCAGAGCACATCAGCTCCTACATTTACTGCATAAATGTAAAAAAGTGGCAGCAATTATAGAGTAATTTGCATGTTCTCTCCCACAGAGACTACATCAAGTCTGAACTACTACAGATCATTAAAGTCAGTCTGTAGAACATGGCTTTTAATTYGTCTCACTGCAAAAATGAARTTTTGGGGTGGGATGGAAAAAGCASGAATAACACACACATGTGTGCACACACTGCCTTTCACCACCAGAAGATCTGAGTATCTCAGTAAGTTTACAGTATTTATCTTCTACTCCATTGCAATGGGATACCAAAGTACTGAAAGCCTAGATCAGAAATGAAGTTTCAAGACAGAATGACACTGTTGTAAATTTTCCAGTGTACAGTCAGTGCTGGAATAGGCACACACAGTCAGCCACTTAGGCACTAAACCAAATGCCATCTTCTTCCTTACTAGAGAGCACCACTTAAGTGCACAGGAAACCAAACAGCATTTTAAATATCAAAAGCCTGGCCTCACTGCTGACATGATTTTTCTAAACATGACAGACATTCAGTGTGTATTTGCACACACAAATATAAATTACCTATCTCTCTAAATAAATGGCAGGAAAGCAAAGCACCTGAAATTTGGATGAGGAGCTACTGTAGGAGTTGTGCCATCGATCACCCCTCTCTCGCTCATGGTCAGAACCCCTCCTGGTTCAAGTAGGGCGTTCAAGCGGTCCAGCACAGAAGGGCTATATTGGGGGRAAAAAGTACCAAAGTTATCACTTGTATGAAATTAAAATGGTGCCAACCATAAGCAAAACATGAAAAAGCTTATTAAACTATACAGTAACACGAAACTATGGTCTGCTCAACCATTTAAGAAAGATACTATTCTAGATAGGGAAAGAGTATTACCCTTCCCATGCATCGTTATCAAATGCAGAATGTCTAGTTTTAAACTGCTCATGAAAAGGCCAAATAATTTAGGGAGGTTGAAAATTTATTTGGTGAAACGAGGTCACTTCATTCTCTTACTTGCAGAAGTTAACATTGTCCATCAAAAGCCAGTCTCCAGACTGCAGGGCTTGAACCAGCATGCCATCCACCCACTCAAAGGTGCCRTGGCTGTTCCGCTCTGTAGCCTGGAGCTGCTGCAGTTTGAAACGTCGAAACTCTTCTACCAGGCGAGCAAATTCTGGAAGAGTATGGCCCAGATCAAGATTAACACAACCAAGGTAGTTTGCATACACACACACACAAAGTTATTTTACTAATAAATATTTTTTCTCTGCAAAACAGAAACAACACAGGTTACTCTGCAATTCTAACTCTGGATTTTGTCTGTGGGCAACTGCTGGCATAGTGACCCAAGGGTTCTGCCAATACAGAGAAGAATGAACTCCASAGAATGAACTTCTCCATTCCTTCCTCCAGTGAAGGGCTATGGGATATTAATATTGTAAATRTCATGATAGGTAACGCACATCAGCCTGCTGAAATTGGTAAAGCTGATCTCTTTAATCTTTCAGAGATCAAACATCAGAGAAAAATATCTAAGCTCCCTATCTTAGGAATTGGATTGCTTCCTATGTTTCGCAGTTCTGTACAGTGTGGACTACTGATCAAGTATAACTGCACAAAAAACCCCTAAGAAACATCATTAATATAACTTCTTCTGAACCTTGGCCATCTTGCACAAGCAGCATGAGGTAGCAATACCATTTAAAAAAACCCTACAAATTATAAGCAGAAAATTTGCTGAAGATTTCACTGCAGGTTTATAGGTGTTTCTTATTTTCCTCAGAGCAACATATAGCCTTATTTCAAATCACCCACGATACCTACCTGCCTTTGAGTAAGAATTGATTTTGTTGTTTAGCCGCTGGATGAGTACAAGTATTCCCTCCAGTTTGCTCACTAGCTCTGCTGTAACTGAACTGAGCCTGGGTTTGCAGTTCAGGATGAAATTGCTCCAAGCACGTAGCACCAGCTCTGCATCATCAGCACTAAGTTCTGCGAGGAGCAAGCTGTCCCTCACCAGGGTGCTCACTGAGTTCTCCACCTTTTCCAACAGGCACTGCCACGGTCTGGTGATATCAACCTGCAAACACACCATTAGGTCATCCAGAAGACCACGTTGCCTATGGCTCCGTTTGATTAAACACTGAGATCACAGTGGACGGGCCACTGCTCAGTAGAAATAAATACTCTCTTTTTACCCAAGCTATTTTTACCTGCTCAAATCCTCCCAGCAGTTCAGTTGTATCCATCGCACTGTTCAYTGCCATGATTTTAAGCCGATGACCGGTCAGATGTGCCAGCAGCTCCACGAGACTGGTCTTGCCAACAGCTGCAGGGCCCACAAGGATAACCATCCAGCTCATGTGCACACATTTCATTATAGGCTCGAGGGACTGCAGCGAGTGATGCAGGAGTGACAGATTGCTGCCAGGGCGAGGGATATAGTTGCCACGAGAAAGAACTGAATAGCCAATCTAGAAGGGATGAACCCACACAGGTGAGTACTTTGAGAGAGAGGAAAATGGAGCTCAGATGTAAAAGAACGAGGCACCTCCCTTCTCTCTCCCTTCCCAAACACCATCTCCACAGCTTACCTGAACGTTATAGGGAGTGATGTGAAATGCTCTGGTTCCTACATATACATCAGCCTCCTGGCCAAAAATGTCTCTAAATGTAGATACAACCTAGAATAGTTGGAAGAGCAATAGGAATTTATCAGCCCAAGGTATCCATTCTTCTAAAGCCTTAGACAYACACCCCTTTTCTGATCAAACATCAGAAGTATGTTTTTTTGTATGCACACACAAACATATATACGTATATTATCTATTCTTAKGTGTGTCATGATTTTTCCTAAGAGCTAATATCTGTGAGCGAGTTTCAGGTTACCTTCAAATTTCCATTTGGATTTCTATAAATACTTGCTGACTGCTTAAAGGAATGMGAACACACAGCTCACCTTTTCTTTGTCATCCTTGGTTCTCATTCTTTCTGCATACACCAAGAACACATGCTGGCCTGGATTGTAGCATCCTGGCGACTGGTCAACAAGCATAAGTTGGCACCAGCGGAAAAGATCACGTAAGTTGAACTCCCAGGGTCCTCCTTTCTGTCCCCACTTTTTTTCAACCATTACCTCTCTGTCAATCTGGAAAAAAAAATAGCAATTCAAACAAATCTCCATCCACATACTAGCCTTCAAACATATTAAAATTCCAACTAAACCTCTGCCTTTGGCACTGCCAGCAAGACACAAAAGACACTAGAAAGAGCAGAGTGTATTAGTTCCTTACACCTTCTGAAAAACTAGAGTTTGATTCTGCTTGTCTCATCTACTCTCTGCTGAAAAATCTTTTATACGTACACAATTTTGGCTCTGAGCGTCCCTGAATCCTTTGCCACAGACAGATCTTACCAGAAAAGATTTTYCTTTTACCTCTGTGTTCTGGAAGTACATTCTGCAACCTTAAAAATTTGTGACTATAAAGGCCAGGTGATGTTTTCAATTAACCCCATTGCTCTAACAAATTCCCACAGTAAACAGCAAATGAAAATTTAAAACCAGAAACAAAAMCGCACATTTCAGTTCTTACTAAAATATAGCTACTTTTGTTGGTGCTTGCAGAATAATTTGCATGTTTGAAAAAAACATTATTTTCTTAAGTCATTTCTCCAGGCTTTCAAACTTCCATCGAAATAAGTCTTTAAAACAACAACAACAAAACAACGAATCTTTTTATCAAAAATATATATTTTTAAAAATTTTCATCTTTTATGAAAAATAATGTCCCTCCAGAGTAATTTTGAAGGTGATTATAGTGGTAAATACAGTCAGAAGGCATTTAATGATGCTCTCTAATTTTTCTGCATATATTTCCACTTCTCTTTTCCACCCACACGCTTCTTAAAGTCGTAGGAAATAACAAACAAGGTTTTCATCATATTGCATTATGCCTACTTTTATACAAAAGTAGTGAAACYGTATGTTTACCTTATTATTAAAAGCAACCATTTTAGCAATAATATTTTTATCAATGGCAGGAAACAGAGTATTCCCAATAAATTCCATATCTGCAGCTGACAGCGGATCAACATACACCTGTAGAATAAAGAAAACATTATTTGCCAATAAAGTCAGAAAACTACAAAACAGGATCACGATGTAGCTTAAACCAAACAAGCTTGCCTGGGTAAACCTATTAAGAAAGGACTTGGGCAGGCCCTTTCTTCCACCTCCTTGTCTGTAGGGATTCTGGCATCCAAAAATCTTTGTCTTCTTGTGCTGTACATGAAAGCTCATCCCCAGTTCAGGCACRTAAATCTCTGCTCTGTGGTCGAAGCACGCATTTAGTCCTTCTAACACAGACTGAGAAGCCAGATTTAACTGAGAAAAGAAAAGAAGATAGCGTTTTGTGGTGCATTAATATACTTTCTCATAATTTCTAGTTTAAGCTGGGATATATAAAAGGTAAAATTCAATTTCCTTGCTGTCCCACCATTGTTATAGGTTATTGTTATATACCTTCACTATATTGTTCTTTTACTGGAGCAGTAAAGCTATAAATAACACTTTTCCTTGTTTGCACTTACTATTTCTAGTGTGTTCTTACCAAGACAACAAAACACTTCCTCACTGTAAAACATGCGTTTTCAACATGCTTCTGACTTATTTTCATACATTGGTGACATTCAACCAAAATGTTCTTTTTTTTTTAAAGGCAGTCTAGATTACTCAAATATTATGGTTGCCTKAAGTGATATTTTTTGCAACAAAGAAAAGGCTGTATCAACAGATAAAGAATTTAAGATTTTGCACTCATCAGTAACCCCAACACACATGCTCTCACATAAGGAGATCTCTCTGTATGTGCTTGAAAGCATTTACTACTTTGGCACACCAACAAATCTCTGGTGGAATGTAGTTTATACCAGAACTTAGTGACCTTGATGAAATGAGGACCCAAAACCAGCCTCAGCAAATTTACTTTTATTTCAGTGAAATGATATCTATAAGAATGTGTATCCCAAAACTTATGTTGATTCCCCTCCCAGAAAACTTTCAATATAAATCTCAGGTTGGTTTACTGCAGTAGCTTAGACTGGGATCCACATCTTGCTTTGCTTTCCCAAGTCAGAGATTTAGGGTAAGCAAACCTTTTGCATTCCCTATATAAGGCAGGAATGGACAAAGGGACTTCTAGGGAAGATTCATCTCCCTGTTAATTGAATGATTGCCTTCGACTGGGCACCTAGAACCAGATAATTTTGCTCAACTTTACTTAAGTTCAGCCACAAGCTCTTGAGGGTATTGCTCTTACATGCTAATTCAGCATTTTTGCTTTCCAAGTATTCCACTTTACCTGTGCTGAAAATTTGAATTTACCTCATCTAATACAATCCAGTGTCCGGCCTTTAAGGCTGCTAGTAGAGGTCCATCACGCCATGCAAATTCTCCTCCTTTCCCACCTTCAACAGGCAAATCTGTCCCAAACAAGTCTGTCACATCCTTTGGAAGCCAGGGGAAACAAAAAATAAAAATAAWAAAAAAAAAAGAAAGAAAAAATTTTAAAACTTCTGTGTAAAAAATGTGAAATTTCATGAACCTTTGTTAAACTCACATTTTCATAACCTCATATTTCCCCTCTCCCTCTTAAATACAGTTAAAATATAAATATTTTTTAAAAACCCTGAAAAAAACCCTGAAAGCAGTTTCAAGATGCTAAAAACCTTTTCACAATAGCTACTCCACTGACAAGCTACTATGTTAAAAAACAAAGACTCAAACAAAACAACATATCCCCCAAAACCTAGGAACAAAASCCCTAGGAAGCCTTAAAATTACTTCCAAGTAACTTTTGCAGAAGCCCAGGAAACAGAAGGAATTACGCATATCTTCACTCGAAAATACCATAAAAATTTGGAAATTGGCACTCCTCTTACAAAACCTCACTGCTCTTTCTGCTTCCCTCTGATCTTTGAGGCCAAGGAGGAAGCAACTGGCATCTCTGACAAAAGCGCCAGAGATTTTTTGTTTTCTTTATCAAACAAACAAACAGAACGTGCTAAAGTTAAGGCAAAAGTTGAGTTTAAAGCTAAAGTTAAGGCAAAACCAACAACAGCAGCAAAGCCCTCTCTGCTCTCCCCGCCGCGCTGAATTCCAAGGATAACGCAATTATTCCTACCGTCTGCTCGGAGAGGTTGATCCGAACGAGGCAGTTGCCCGAGGCCTTGGCCAGGGCGGCCACCAGGCTGGTCTTGCCCACGCCTGGCGAGCCCTCCAGCAGGACAGGCTTGGGGAGCTGCAGGGCCCTGAGCAGCCGCTGCGCGTTCACCGCCGTGGTGCCGGCCGTCAGCGCGTAGTCCGGCACGCCGCTCCGCTGCGCCACGGCGCCTGCAGCGCGGGAAGAGCCAATGGGAACACACGTCAGTCACAAAGGTAATCCCGGCGTTGCTGGCGCTGTCCTTCTGAGGGGATTATGCAGTGTGCGCCCGCCGAGCTCACTACAGCAGTGATGGACATCAAGCTGTAGCCCCTGTTCACAGATCAGGCAGGTACTTTCTATCTGAACGACGCTCGTGTCTTGGCCAACCTGCACTCGTGGTTAAATTTGCAAAAAGCATCTGAATATGCAACAGATTCTAGTATAAAATGTTAACAATGTAGAGCGTTCACAAGCCAAACTAAACATTTGTCACTCGAAAAAAATCACAATTCACTTCAAGTATATRGGAGCACAAAAATCAAAAGTGTCTTCTGAAAATCTGACCTCGAGGGATATGGTTCAGACATGTTATATGACAACATATTGACCCTCTTTTTGTGATCCAGTTTCCCCACAGGAAACTAAACAATTCAACAAAAGCTTAACCTTGTGCAGCTTTGTGTGTAGCCAAGAGCAATCCATGAGCACAAAACTGTTCAGAAAATAATCGTGAGTGAAGCAGTAGAAACATGCCCTGCATTGCTCTCTGATACTGAAAATTAATTACGYGAATTAGAACTGGAATCAATGACAAATTTGAAACAGATGAAAGTTCAGTCTAACTCCTTTCAGTTTTTGGTTGCTTCAATATATTTTAAAGGTGGAAAGCAGTATTTGGGGAGTTCCAAATGCAAYAGAAAATTGTCAGGGAGAGAGAGACTAAATAATGCTGCAAAAATCACTGGGAACCTTTGAGAGACTACAGCAATTTAGCATTTTTAAATTTAAAGCATTAGACTCTTGTGTTTAGCACTGCATCCATGATTCCTGCTTCCCATGCTTTACACAAGGGCTGGAATGAGCTGTAATTTTTACCTAAAATTAACAGAGATTCTAACCATGTAAAGTGAGAGAAAATTACATCTCAAAATTGAAGCACCTTTATTTCACCAAAAGTCTCCTAAGATTATTAGTCAGTCATCTGCAAAGTAACGTAAGAAACTAACTTTTTTTTAATAAAGGTGACAGAGTTGCAATGAACACACCAAGGAACCGTAAAAATYTGTTCTAGGCTCTACAGCAAATTAGAAATTCTTCTCTAACATTTGAGACATTTTACCTAGATCTAGCGAATAACAGAATTACTACAAATAAAAAAAGCAGATAGTAAATATCCATCCATTCCCCCACAGAGTCTCCTACCTCTRGGAATGAAAAATGGGTGGATTCCCATGAAGTTGTCCATCCACACAAATTCTCTCTCAGATGTTCTGTCATAAATCTTTAGCTGGTTCTTCTGATGGTCAGTTAGCTCAAGGAATTGGCCCATTTTCTCACACAAGAATGCCAGGCACTTTTCACGAGCTGATAAAGCAGTATCAGCAGAGCAGGAGGTTGTACCTGTAATTAGGAAAGTTAAGTGTGCTTCATAACCATAGCTAGACATCTTCATTCGGTGACTGAAAACCAGAACTGTTTCCACAAATGCCTGTTTTGTGCACTGTTCTGTTCCAGGCTGATACTTAGGGTTGCTGCTTTTGCTTGCCAGTTTTAATAACATCAAGGAAAAACACAGGGATCTATCACCCTGACTCCCGCTCGTGGCTCCCAAGAATTCTATCCCTGCACTTCTTGCTCACTTTTCTCCTCTTCCCAAGCCTCCCACTGGTCAGCAGGGCCAGTGGCCAGACACACCAAGATATGTTCCTAGCTTTGTATGTGTTAGGAGGGACATGTGCTGACTTCAGGGGTGGAGAAAGGACAATACGTGGTTATGAAGTGCCATATCTTAATATATCAGCTCGGGAGACTGGACTGGAAAACACAACCTTAGTTCGTGTGTTCAGCCTTGTAATATTATTACAATGTGAAATTTACTTAAGTTTGCTGCATTTTTCAAACTCTTGTTATAAAAGCAGAAAAGCAAAAGCATGTAAATTACAAGATATTGTTAAATAAGGCTTCCCATAAGCCTTTCACTGTGCTCCAAAGTATCTGCCTGTATTCTGCGTACATTTCCAATGTATATTCCATACATATAAAACAAATACAAACATACACCTCTTTTTCCTCTGTCGAACGAGCACTGAGCACATACCTGATCCTATGCCATCGATGTACACCAGGCACGCGGCATGGATGAAGGAGAGCACAGGAGAAACGCGCCGGCGGCTGCGCTGCACGCCCCAGCGCGGCTCCTCGCTCGCTGCCATGACGTTCATGAAACACACCCACGCCAGGATGTCCCGCACGCTCACGATACACTGGCGGCCAAACGGCTGCTTAGGGAGCCACTCAATGAAGTCCATCATGAGCTCCGCAATGTCCGCCCCTGAAAAATACATACATACAATTCTAATTTAATGCAACTAAAAAAAACAATGTTATCAGTCAGAGCTAACACATTGTTGTAGAATAAGTATCATTGCAATGGATGGAGAAGAAAAAAATACTGTGGCTAAATAAATAAGTTCTTCAGAGAAGCATCATCTCTCAAAACTATTAGTAAAATTGACAGTGAAACTGACAGGAGAAATTCTAGCTTTCCAAGTGGTAGCAAAGTTTTTCCTTTCTTGTTCCTGGATGAAAAAGACAAATAGTTTCCCCATCACAAAGCACATGGTTTACACATATCCTCACCTCTAGCTTTCCCTTTCACACAAAGGAAAACAACTCCCTTCAGCTCAGTTCCCTTTAGCAAAGCAAGATACAAGCTGAAGCAGCACATGAAGAAGTAACAGCACATCAACAGTGGATGGATACTCTATGTCCTAGCAGACAGGAAAACTGAAGAGTGAGGAAGGAGGTCTGTACCTTTGTTGGAATTGCAGATCCTTTTAAATTCAAACACCAAGATGGTGTCAAGTGATTAATACGCAGCAAAGCTGCTGCCACAACAGAAATTAGCAATAAAGCTAAGACAGGGCATTGAAGAGCTGAGGAAAATTTGACAAGGGGGTGTGAATCCTGCCTTGGTCTTAATGCTGGTTATATAATATATACTCTGAAGGAAGAGCAGAGGACAAAATAGGTCACATTTGTCCCCAGAGCTCAAATCCTTAGGGTAATTTAACRGTTTCCAAATGTTTTTCTCCTTAAGGTGTTTTCAATTCAAAGAGAGAAATACCCACCTTGATAGTTTATTCCACCCAGAGACAATCCTGGATGAAGATTGTGTTTTACAATCTGTATTAAATCACCACGACCATTGCTCTGTGGACACCATATCTCTGTAAATCTGTTACGCAGCGCAGGAGAAAGCTGCAAACAAAACAAACAACATAGCAATTCATTTCAAACATTACCTAAGGTTTCAGTTAACCTTGCATATTGCCCAAATATACTGCAGTTACCAAGTGAACAGATCAGACTTTTCCTCCTCATTTTGAGGCTTTATAGTGAAATCTTTAAGGAAAATGCAGATTAAGGTTTCCACTAATAGCATCAAGAGAAGAAACAGCTGAATGAAAAAACATGGGAAGAAACTAGGCTGGTTTGCAAGCACCAGAGCCCCATCTCATTCTAGGATATCACATGCCAAGTAACAGCTCCCTAACTTGCCTTGTCCCTTTGCTTTCAAAGGGAAGCTATCGCACGGAAATCTGCCTTCTGTTCGGTCTCCTTTCTCCAACTCCTCTTACTCTGCCTGAATTAGTGAAGCAAAAACAACTAGCACAAATRCAACACCAAAATAAATCTCCTTAATTCACAGGTCTCTACAGTGAGTTTTGTGTAATAATAAACATTTTTAAATGAATGTCCATGTTCTCGCAGGTTAAAAAAAGGCTTACATCTCTTATTAGTCCAAACCCCGGCATTCCTTAAAGGTTTTTTCACTCGTCTTTTAAATAACTTGAAGCAGAACTTTAGAAATTGAGTTTTTCTACCTGTTTAGAAAGGATGCCTTGTTTACATTCACCAACAAGACAAGATGACTTCTGGCTGTTGCTTCTGAACAGTATTAAGGAGAATGAACTGTTAGGCAACTTCATACTACTCCATCTAGACTCGGATGCTAGAGCTGAGGTTTCTTACTTTATGAGTCACRTTTCCTATACCTGAAGCATTCCGCATCTCAAGCCTACCTAAGGTGTTCAGAGGATTGATWTTTTTTCTGTGATATTCTGTTTAAAATCAGGAAAGTGACAGCACAGAGAAGGGATGCAAAACAGACACACTCTAATCCTCCTCTAAGGCTACAAGGCAAACTCCTATTAGGAAGCAGAGGATGCCGGAACTGGCATGATGCACTTTAGTACTGCACCTCTACTGACTAAATGTTTAGCAGCAGCAGACATGTGAACTGTTTTTGTTTTCTTTTTTTTCCAGGGGCTTTGACATTTACCTCTTTTTTCCCAAAGTCCCCTCCTGGGTTCATGGTGGCGAGGATGCGAAATTTCTTTCCTGCAACCAGTATTTCTACTTCATTATCCTCATCCTCTTGACCACCTTTTTCCGCGAGTACCAATGTCTTTTCAGCTTCAAGAACACTAAGGAGAAGGGTTAAGAAAAAACACACACAAATGACGTATTTCAATTTCATTTCAAAAGACCACTTACAAAATGAATAAAAAAACTGGTCTTGAATAAGTTTCACTGCCCCAGAATTTGTATTATTTCTTAAAAAGAATAGGAAATTCTACTCATCATTCCTAACTGAGACCAATTCCATTTTTTTTCTACAAGAAAATTCAAGCCAACTTTGTCATTAAGGCTCAGGTCAAATATCTGAGAAAAAGCTTAGAAAATCTTAGCTAGTTTGGGCATAAAACTAACRTTTTATGATGAATAACCTCAAAGCTGACACTAAACACATTTAATACATACCTGTTAAGTCTCTCTAGAACAGAGTCATCGGCTAAAGAAATCTCATCAAGGAGAAAAAAACCCTCTTGTTTCATTGCTAAAACAAGGGGTCCATCACACCATTCAAACAGTCTAGAAACATCAGATTCCTCCTATAGAAAGATAAAAGGAAGTGAAAAGGCATTAGTAATTGCTGCTTTTCATTYTTTGGTCATGTTATCAGGCACGACTGAGACAAACCTGGTCTTTTGACCGTTGTCTCACTGGTCGCAGACCTCCCAAAAAATCTGAAGTCTCCATATGCAAGTGGCAGTTTACAGAGTACAATTTCTGATTTGTTAATGCTGCAAAGATTTGACAAATGGTAGTTTTACCACACCTGGAAGGTAAATAAATTGAAAGAGGAAGAACAACAAAAAAAAGGTAATGAAAAAAAMCATCATTCACTTTGGATAGGATTCACAGTTTAAAGATTCACGAGGCAAGGGCTTTAGCATGCAAATTTCCTTCTGCTCACTTTCCTTGAAATAAATACATGTAAAGGGAAGCCATTTTTGGCTTAACAACTGTTGCTAACTTGCCTAAGACGCCTATAATTACATTTAAATCCAAATCTGCATTGACTGACATTTGAAGGTTCAAAAGCAAGTTTATTTCAGCATGCCTGCACAGCTATTGAACTAATCTAGCTTTCTGTTAAGCTGGAGATGCAGCACATCTAAACCATGCCCACGTCTGAGGGAATAAACTGCCAAGTAACTATAGATCTTTCTTGGTATCCAATAARCGTTACTTCTGTCTTTCCTTGTGGCTCCACCCTCACTTACCAGAAAAACTCTCACTATTTGTTTGTGCCCGAAAGAGATGCAATTCCTTCTCGACAGTTGCAAGATATGAAAAACAGCAACTGCATGGCTGCCACGAGAGGCCTACAAGAGGCCTACTCCTAAATCAGGGAAGCACTGAAACCCACTCAATCACTAAGTGCCTGGCCAAAGGGTTGCTACTTAACTATCAAGAGCTGAACCATAAAGAGCAAGGTTACCCTGTGTCTCCCACCAGGAGGACTGGTTCACCAAACTCCAGGGCTCTTCCCACCAAAACGGCGAGCCTCCTCATCCCCTCAGTCCAGACGATGTGGTGAAAATCTCTCTCCATCACAGACTTTTGCGTGGAGGATTTGGCTGCACAACACAAAGCAACTTGTTAGCTTCGGCACTATGTAGAGAACTACCAACGTGGTCCTTTTGGGAAACTCACCCAGCAGCTTTCTGACGCTTTCCTCTGAGAAGAGGGTCTGCGGATACAGTTTTTTCTTGAAGTGTTTTTCCAGAACACCTTGAATAACATCCACCTCCTCCTGTTTCCTGACTCTGCCAGCTAGAAGCATAAAACCTACCAAACAGAAGAGAAAAATCAATGACACATGGTTAATGATTTAAAAAATGCATATATATAATACTTAAAAAAAGTATTAAAAAGCAAATCTCCAGATACAGTTTAAAAAATAATAATAATGAGGCAAAGTTGCAGGGCTCACCATCATTTGCTAAGTGCTGAAGCCAGTCATAATGTTTCTCTGCCTGCCCTGCCAACCTGTACCTTTCGGCCCAGCGGAAGAGATCCCGCAGGGTAATGAAGCCGTGTTTCCCTGCGAACACCGTGGAACCTCGGCGGTAAGACTGACAGTGGAACAAGATGTGATAAGTTTTTTTTATCATGAACCTGTACCAACATTTAAAAATACTTAAAACACAGTATCTCAGAGCTCTACAATATGACGTTCATTTGAACAAAATCACTGTAGCCAATAAATAAATAAATAAAACCAAAATAAACTAATAATTCACAACTGCCAAACTTAGACTACATACAAGCAAGTAATTGACAGGTACCTGTAATAAAATAATATAGGCAATAACAAGGAAAAAATAATAGAAATAGGTACTTGGAATAAAAAAAAAAAATCCAAACAAAAAGTTACGTTCTGTGCCAAAACTGTATGTTACCATTTTAAGTTTCATTTTACTCCAATATAGTGAAAAAAGCTAAACATTTGGTTTAGAAAGCTGTAGGAAAAATGTGTTATTTCTTGTGCTGTTGTAATTGCATTTTAAGCATGCAACAGTTTTATCTACTTACTAAAAACTAAATATCTGTTAAATGAAGAGGAGTTAGGAGAACATTTTACATTTATGAATAATACAAGTTAACATGACCCAAAGGCTGCCTCAAATCTATTACGGCTCTTTAGATCCAGAGCAAAGGATGATGTTTAAAAGTCACTTAAATTAAAATCCAAGTATTTTGGACCTTTCCCATCAAACCACAAGGCCTTCAGTCACTAATTTTTGATGGCCTTCTCTCAAATCTGACATCACTTTTTCCAAGGTGATGCTTAATGGTAGGTTCTATTCCCCCAATTGTGTTAAGACCTTCAGACATCCGAGAGCTCACAACACTTCCCCATCCCAAAATGGATTTCTTCTCTCAGTGTTGAATTGTGCCTGCAAGGTTCTCTGCAACAAAAGAAAGACTCTCATACCTGCAAGTCTAACATGACTTTGACCAGTTTGGTGCAGTAAGAGGGTGGCAAAGCGCATCGCTGGTGCAGGATGGCTTCCAGCTCAGCACTCGGCAGCTCATCAAAATGCAGTTCCACAAAGCGATTCCTGAAGGCTCTGGACAAAACCTAGTGTATAAGAATAGGGTTAGTGTTTGAACTTGTTCCTTCAATATTGCTTTTGTTATAYATCTTTCCCTTTTCCCCAAAGGAAATATGGCTAGCTTCATGTTATACAAATTAGTACGTATACATAAATGTAGAAAGAACATGTAAGAGAGACTGGATGATTCCAGTCATTGCTTTAAAATTGATATTAAATATCTAAGAGAAATCTCTCCTACAGAGGCCTTGAAGTCTGGCAAGTCAATCGTAACTCACATAAGCTCCAATTCAGTGTAATACTTAAATTGATTAGTAATTTGCTATCTGTGAACAAAGCAATAATACATATACGGCATCCAGCTGAGCTATTGAGCACAGGCACCTCTTCACAGAATCCCTGAATGGTTGAGGTTGGCAAGGACCTCTATAGAGATCAAGGACCTCTAGAGGTCCCCCAGCAGGGACACCCAGAGCACAGCGCCGCATCCAGGTGGGTTTGGAAGATCTCCAGAGAAAGAGACTCCACAGCCTCCCTGGGCAGCCTGTGCCAGGGCTCTGGCACCCTCACAGGAAAGAAGCTCTTCCWCACACAGAGATGGAATTTCTTGTGTTTCAAGTCATAYCAATTATCYCTTGTCCTGTCASTGGTCACCACCAAGAAGTGTTTGRCCCCTTCTTCCCTACATTCTCCCCTCAGGTACTTATACATATTGATCAGACCCTCTCTCCACCTTCTCTTCTCCAGGCTAAACAGGTCCAGCTCACTCAGTCTTTCCTCATACGAGAGATGCTCCAGGTCCCTTAGTCATCTTTGTTGCCCTCTCTGGACCCTCTTTTGAAGCTCCATATCCCTCCTGTACTGGGGAGCCCAGAACTGCCCCCAATCCTCCAGGTGTGGCATCACCACAGGTTCCCATTAAGTCTACATTATGTATCAGAAAGCTTTCCCAACACATTTCCAAGTACCATAGGCATTCATTCCCTGCAGACCGGGCTACTCAAAGGAAGAGGTTATACTGACCTTCCTGCCACCGTAGAGTCCCGGCGGATTCTGGGTGGCAAACAGCATGAAGCGAGGATGAGCTTTGACAACCTCCTGAGTCTCAGTAATGAACAGCTCTCTATTGTCATCCAACAGTCTATTGAGAGCCTCCAGAACATCAGTGGGAGCCAAATTCAACTCATCAAGAACAATCCAGTAGCCCTTTCTCATGGCATCAATGAGGATGCCTTGGAGGGAACAAAAACAAAACAAAAAAAACTCTTTAAAATCTGAAAAACTTTATGGAAGTTTACACTGCAATAAAAGCTCTTAGCAATCAATTTTCACATYGTATAAATCTCATCCAGAGCATGAAGTGACAATAGGCTTTAAACTGTCAAATCTTTTTATCCTATTGGACATAAAAAAATAAGTTATAAAGAAGATAAGCAACCTCCTAAGAGTTCAATAGAGTTCACAGATTGAATCACGTAAAGATTAACTTTATGGAAGGACATCTCTGCACTGATAACGACAAGTTAGGAAGGGAAGAGAAAAAAAAAAGGTAAACTAAGAATGAAAATTTTAAAGTAAACATAATATGCTCACCCACCTTCCTTAAATATCAGCTTCCCGGAAGCATCTGATGTGTAACAGCCAATATATTCCTGAATGTCAGTATGTTCATGGTTGTTAATCCGAACGCAGTGGTTGCCAGTWGCAGCAGCCAACCAGCGAATTAAACTGGTTTTACCAACAGAGGTCTCGCCTTGGATCAGTACTGGGTGAGTCCTAGAAGGAAAAAAAAAAACCAAAATAGTGCTTAGAAGCATCAGTCATAGATCCTTCTTATGTTCAAGAGGAAGCATAGCATCATCATTTGAAGTTTTCACAGATACTTTTATAATTACTTCCAAAATATCATTATTTAACCCCTTTCTGATTGACATATCTAAGATCACACAGGAATGGTGAAATATAAAACTCTGCCCACAAGTGCAAACTCTACCCATGAAGTTATTACMTGGCAGGGTGAATTGAGCAGTTTAAAACTTTTACTGCTATACCCATTTTTTAAAATGATAATCTAGAGATTTGTGGTTTGAATAAAGAGATAAGAAAGAAAAAAGAAATAAAAATTCAAGTCAAGGTATAATGAAAAATTACCATAAAACAGGAAGAAAACAGACACCACTCATACCAAGAAAATAACTGCTAGATGGACACCAATGCTTAAGGCCCAAATAAATTCGTTTTACTTAGTTTCCTAATAGGAAAACAAAACAAACAAACAAAAAAACATACCCWGCAGACACAACTCTGACAATGTCTTTCAGATTAAGCTTAACGGAAGGGGTTAGCACATAACTCTGATCTACAGCAGGCTCTTTATCCCCAGCAGCAATCCAGTAGCCTTCAATAGGTATAAACCTCCCCGCTTGGGGTTTTGGTATTTGCTGAGGAGAAAATGACAAAAAAGTAACATATTATAGAAATGACTTTTGATTTTCTAATGAAGACAAATACTTCTACACCACCATAACACGTTCTGTAAGAAGCCCTTAATCACTTTAAGTTACCCCTTGAGCTCTCCCATAGGGAGCACTCTCTGGTTGTCACAGAATGCACAGGACCAGGAAAGGCTGAAGAGATTATTTCAAGGTCATGAAGCAAGAAATTTTGCCAGAGACATAGAGACCAAAAGGCTTCCTCACTCCTAAAGTTTACTTCCAAACTGCTTTTATTATTATTTGTACATGCTTTATTCTTTTTTTGGAGGGAAAATGGAAGTSCACACATCTCTTGCAACTATCTTCCCTACTCGAGCCACCTAGCAAGCCATTTGGGTTCCCAGAACTCATGCATTTTGGGTTCCCAGAGCTAGTGAGATTCCTCCTTTCTCATAAGGGAGGARGCACAGACATTTGCTTCCCATCAACATATTCTGCACTTGGGATCTAAAAATAAAAAGCGTGAGAGCTTCTCATTTCCCACTCATGGCTTTACAATTGGAGTCACTATTTTGTTATCTATACTCTTACAATTCTGTAGTCAACTCTCGCATATTTTTTCAAATTAACAAATAAAYCAGCTAACATATGGGCTTTTTATACACAAAGTTGAAAAAGAACAGCAKTGATTTTTTTGAGCACTTATATAGGAAAGACATGATTCTGATGTCTTAATCATGCAGAATATGTGTAATAATGTTGGAAAAAGGCAGAGAATACAACTGAAAATACATTTTACTCTTGAAAAATGACAGCTCATTATAGGCTTAGTTACCTACCTGCTTGAGAAGGCTTTTGATGTTGCCAGAGACTATATGCTGGCAAATCAACTTCTGAACTACTGGGTGAGAAACTCTGTCAAGCTGCGTCAGGAAACTCAAACAGAAGCCCTAGGAAGAAGGATTACTTTCAACAATTATGTGAATAAATATTAAAAGAAAAAAAAAGTATCTATACACATGTTAAAGAATCCTTTCCATTTAACACTGCATGAGAAGACAGAATTTTAYTTAATCTAAACAGACTTAGTAGGGAATACACATATTGAAACAACCTCCAGTACAGGCAATCACCTCATAGAGCGATCGTGAGATGCTGCTACATGGATTAGATGCTGCAAATCTCAGCGCCCTGCAAAGCGTCCGCAGACTATAATGAGGTCTGTGGCCAGTTCCATCCACCAGCTTTGTTGCTGCTTCCTTTTTCACTGATAAATAAAAGCTGGAAAAAAAAGAAAGAAAAAGTGAAACTAGGTGAAGTTACACAGTACTGTTACTGGAAAACTAATCATTTTTAAGATCAGAGCACTGCTCTAAAGAATTAAACCCAACCCATGAACATTCATACTCATGCCCAACTGTCATTTCTTCAAAAAGCCCTGGGTTGTGAAAGTCATGTCAAATATTGCAATTAGTGAAGTAACCCAGCATTTAAAATTATATTTTTAGAGTGTCGAGATACATGCAGTGTTTCCAAAAATAGTGTAATCACAGACTACAGTTACCTACTTTCCTTTTGCGACATACCCATCTAAGGTATGGAGACTTGTAACCAACTTACTTCACTATTCCTTGCACTGTGTTTCTGTTCACATTCAGGCCTCTCAGATAATCCATGATAAGAATCTGCAAGTCTCCTTCACTCCTCAGCTCTTCTACATAGAGTTCAGTAAACCTATTGGAAGTAAATCAATCCATAACATTTAAATAAAACATCAGATAAAAAAAAATATTCATATACATTTCAAAGTATGTAAGCAACATAATACTGATCCATCAAACTGCCTATACAGAGATGCAAAAGAACACAGTAGTTAAAAATAAGGTACTACTAACACTTCAAGTGTTAAGTGTTTAAGTAATCTGTCTCTCTTAACTTTGTCAACTGAAAACCATGTCTATGGGACCATATTTTTTTAAAGTGCAAACTGCAAAGAGTTTGTAATACATATACTCAATAATGTGGACTGAAGCTGGAGCACTGACACAGCAAGAACGTTTTGCAAAGTGGATTCTCGATAATAAACTATATATTTTAAAAGGTCAACGTGTATGAAATGTTAACTCCTCCTAATCTTGTGTTGAACTGTATGTCCAGACGTGCTCAGATATCCAGGTGCTCAGTGTCAGTCTACAGTCTCTCCTACCACGCACTGCCACTGCAAAAGAGTGACTCCTACACCACAACCAACCTACAAATGAGCAATATCATTAGTCCAGATTCTGATCTGGACTAAAACATTCAGTTTTGGGGCATTCATGAGAGAAACCACAACGAAGACAACAGAAGACCTTTGCATTTGTGAATGGGCAGTATTGCCACAACTTTCTGGTTGCACCACGAGCCCCAATGTTTCGGGGAGCACACAATTTGCTGGGCATGCTCCACCACACAGATCACTTGCAACGATGGATACACAGCCCCTGGCAAGGATCATCAACACTGCCCAGTTACCAAAGAGGCTGTTAGAGAGACTTGCTCTATTATTCCTACCAGGAACATAAACTGCTACAGTGGCCTTCACATGTACTGACAGTTTAATTGTAAAGAATGAGCATTCTCCCCTCTCCCCAATGCTAACACTCTGTGCTAGACCATTTATGCTTTATGCTCAGCAACTTCACAGAAGTATTTTCTTGTTGCTATTTTATGAAAAAAAACAAAAACAAACAGACAACTCCTTCACCATAATGTAGAAAGTACCACTTGGAGKTTGTCAATTGGAGTTCAAACATATCTTCAGATTTGAAGTTATCCTTTTCTCCAGATCAATTCACAAAGTGAGTTAAACTCTCCAACAAAGAAAAGTGACTCTTAGTATTTTGTTAGAGTCTTTTTTTTTATACCTGTTTCTTATTCCTGGAGGAAGATTTCTCTTCCCAACGTCTGTAGCTGGATTCATACATGCAAACAAGCGAAAATCAGGGTGACGCACAAGAGGTTCTAAAGGAAAAGAAAAATATGAAGCAAGAGGCTAAAGCTAAACTAAGCACGTGTATTACTGAGACACACATTTCAAATTCCTCTTCTAACCCAGTTTTGTATTGCTCCACTACTATGTTCTTTTCAAAATGCCAGTGTTATAATTTTCCAGAGAATTACCCCATACAATTTAGAAGTAACCCTACATCTTTATGACAGTCATAGCAAATGAATCCTTGACATTTATTTCCGTACAAYATTTTAACATTAAAGCTAAAATCTGCAGAGTTACAGTGAATGAAAAGTATGAAGCCTAAGAAGGACATGTTATTCTCTCATCTCTACACACATTCCTTTAAGAAATGTGTTTCTTCATCTCTTTTGAGGTAAATAGGATAGAAAATTCAACAAATTGGATGGCAAAATACACCCATCCAAAATACAGCCAAGCACAGAAATAGTACCTGTGTCTCCTCTGTCTAGTAACACCAAGGACCCAGAAGATCCTTCCAACAGGCCACTTAAGCACTCTAGAGTCTCTGCTGCAGCCAAGTTAATCTCATCCAATAAAATCCACTCTCCTTTTTTAACAGCTTGTGCTAGAGTACCCTAAAAAAAAAGATCAATTTGTAAGTTATGTCATCAGCAGTGATATATCATCTAAAGCAGCTATAGCTCTGAAATCTTTGTTGGAAGCCTATGTGTTGATTAGACACATGRCAACTCCAGATCTTATCCTCCAATAACACTCCCACTTTACTCCTTCAAAGACTGCAAGTATTTTGCAAGTCACAAAAGTCAACAATTTTTAATTGCCATTATCTCACTCTATATCACAGAAATGCGGTAGAACAAGTTTTACTTCACAGGAAGACTCATGACAGGAATCTACTTTAGTGATACAACATCTTATAAAAGTTTCTCCTCATTGTTCCCAGCATGAAAATGGAGATCTCTAAATACCTCTACAAATGCAAAGAGCAGAGCGTTTTCTGTCATTTTCATTTGTTGATGAGCATGATTCAGTTTAAGACCAAATGCCTCCCACTTTTCTTTCAGTGGTGAGCCTGCAAGCAAAAGAATTTCAAGTTTGTAACATCAGAATAAGAGCATAATAAAACACTGTTTTTTAAAATATCTTTTAAAGGTATTTCAGACATGTAGTTAGATAAAATAAAATGAAGCTTGGCTTAGCAGAGAAAAYATTCAAGCTCAACAAAACATCTCATGAATTAAAAAGACAAAACTATATTACACTGAAAATATTTTAAAATTTAGAAGTAGGCCTTTTATTTTTTTGGTGTATGTATAGAAAACTTGCYATTCCTTCCAAACGTCCCAAATACTTATGCTGGCAATTCTCTTGTTCACCATTCTCCAGCTGACACAGACAGAAAAAGGTATCCCAAAAGGCAAAAGCAAGTTTCTAAACCTAATTATGAAGCAATATGGAACAAATATTTATTTTATTTTCAGTAAGAATAAACATTGCTGTTTACCATTAGGAGTAAGAACACTTGCTGATCAGTTACAAAATCATGTAGTACTGTAGTTATTTTAGTTACTGGCTTGAAGTTACAGCCAGAGCTTTATGTATTTGTTGTAACTTAACAGCTTTGTAAATTTATCCTCATGCATTTTTTAGTCAGAGTTCAGTTTAGGATTCCTAATACATGCAATGACTTTAAAATTTTATCTTCTTTTATATTTGAATGTATTTTATTATTTTAGTATCTGCATATTCAGGAGAACAAGCTCCTTCAGCCCATACAGAATGAAAGCAATTATTTTTTTGGCCAGAAGATCTAGCAGCAGTGAAAACTCTGTTAAAGGCAAAGTATCAATAACCTTTGTAACCTCTTTGGTCTAAAGAGGTTACAAAGCAAAAATGAAGAGGGAAACCAGTATTTAGAGCCAAAACACAGAAACAACTAGCAATGTTCACCAATACAAGCAACAAGTAACCAGATGAGGGGAGAGGAGCTACCAAGAGCTCTACATGGACAAGTCATCCTTTACCTCATGAGATATGGAAAGYAGCAGTGATGGAATAGGAAAAAAATTCACTGCAAAAGCATTTTGAATGCCTTGTAGAGGCTTGTATTTTTTAAAATTACAAGAGAGGATGTAATAAAGGAAGATGCAAAGAAGTTACCACTCTTTTGTCCTTTGTTACTCTTGAAATGGTTCACAGCTAATGATYTGTGCTTGGCCACTCCAAATTCTTACCAGATACATTATCTTTAGCTTCCTTAYTAATAGCAGATTTGTGAATATGCTGCATTAGTTTGAGCAGATCGTGCCAACGTTTCTGTCTGTAGCAGGTCTGAACATGCCCCAAGAATGTTTGATTCTTTTTTCTAGAGAATGTCTGAGAAAAAAGTTCTTCAAAAGACTCCCGCAGAGGCAGCCAGATCAGTTTGTTATCCACAGGTTTATAGCTGAAGAGAAGCAAAAATTTACTTGTTACACGGAAACAGCAACTAACATCTACATACTAAAAAAAGCAGACACTGGAACAGCAATACTGTGCATTAAGGAATCAGATTTCCAAAGATTTTTATTCAACCAACAAAAAAATGGCACTTATTTAAATGCAYCTTACAAAGCGGTTTCATAGAGACAGGACAGCTTTGGTAGAAAAAGAGTTGTTTACTATTACACAACTTTTACTATTTTACTGTTTACTATTACAATAGGCTTAGTGAATATTACTTTTGTATTTATTGAAAAAAAGTAGTCATTTTTAGAGCAACACTGGGTTGAGCTGCTAAATAATTTCATGTTCCAATGTACGCATATTTCAGTGAAACTGCTTAAGGATGAAAAGATTTCTGCACACAAATACATTTGAGACATTCGTACTGCTACAAAACCAATATGCATCATAACACCTCTATGACAAGACAACTATGCTGGCATTAGAGGCTTGCTGTGATATTGCTGTGCTAACTGGTTCAAGCAAAACAGGCTGAAGAGCAGTCAGTGACTCACCCTCCTAAAAGATCTGCAGTGTCACTTTGCTGGTTCATGTTGATAACCCTCAGAGTGTGTCCTTGAAACAGAAATAAAAAGCATCAACTTGCGCATTTTTTAATTATTTTTGTACAAGTTMAGAGTTTCTGCATTGCATTTACCTGTAATATGAGCAAGGTACTGAACAGTTGAGGTTTTGCCAGTTCCTGTTTCACCAACCAAGAGCACGGGCTCTCCTTTCATAACACACACTGCAAGCTGCTCAATCAATACCACAGACGGTCGCGTGGCAGCAAATGTTTGCCTTGCTCTGACAAAACAGATGAAAAAATTCAGTGGCAAAAATATATCAAGAAGCTCATTTCAATTTCACCTTTGTAAATTCAGAAGGGTACTTACTATTTTTTAATTAAAAAAATATGTTTCGAAAAAAAATAGTTCCAAGATGCAATTAAAAGCATCATACAAAACATTAATTTTTCCTCAAGGTACAACCTAGAGATTCRGCTTTCACAAAGTTCCAGTTCCTACTCTGATTTTGTGGAATAAGGGCAATGTCCTACAAAAGTATCCCTTCATCAAGATAGAATAATCAGTACCTAATTACAACAGTCAATCATCTGCACGTTTTGTCTAGCAGAAGAATGATGCAGTCTCAAATACATGCAAGTTAAAACACATCACAGTCTGATGTAAAGATCACAAGACAGAGAACTCACTACATTCCTTTGTCTAGAGTGAGACTGACTAGCATTGATTTCCTTTAATTTGTAATTTCCATTTTATTCTGTTCCAGCATCAGACTTACAAGCATCAGATACACAAGAAAGCTACCAGATGGATACACTACCTTTGCACTGAAAGGGTCTGTGTTTGTTTCCTCTGGAGGCACACTCTTCCCACAGAGACGTCTTGTTCCCTTACCAAAATTTCTGGTTTATAGAGTTCACAAAAGAATTCTGCCTGTGAAAAAAGCATCAACATTTCCAATATGAGTGTTGTCTACACCATCACAGCAAAGAACACATTCACTGTGCTGCAGCATCAATGCACAGCAGGCTAATTTGCTCATGATTGGGTATTTTGTTTTTAAGATGTATTTATCATCCAAACACTGCTGAGATTCTTCAGCATTTATCTTCGTTCTAAACAACTGCTTTCCATTTATCAATTTAGTAATATGGTCTTGCCATTACAAAGTTTCAGTTTTGAAATAATGGAAAGGAAGCAGGACAGATTAAAACATAGAAAAGTTTCCGGGGATCTTGCTGTCCTCACAGCCATGATGAATATTTCAAGTTTTTACTTTTTAAAGTACTGAAGGAGGGAATTTACTACGCAATTTAACTACTTTGGTCAGAAAAAAAAAAAAAAAAAAAAAAAAAGACAAAATTATTCAGTCTGACTCCCTTGTGTATCATATGCTATCAATGGAGAGAGGGGTACTACTAGCTCCCTCACCAGTGATTAGGGAAGAAGTAGTAAGGTCACACTTTCACCTAAACTCTGTGCTAATGATTGAAGCGCAAAACATAAACCCCACAATAACTCCCCTCACTCCCCAAACTTTGTATTATTCTGTGTGTATATTCAATATATATTGAATTATTCTGCATCATGTGCCTAACCAACTGCACTGCTCCAGCAAGTGACATCCTTCTTTTGCACGATGAGGACATTTGCAATCTCAATATTAGAAAAATAACTATTAGAGCACAGTACAGTTTAGTTAGTTGCTGGACAAAAACAACAACCACCAGTAGCTGTAGAATATTACCAGTATATATCACTTTCATTATAACCCAAAATACCTTTTCCTTGGAAATGTTTAATTTACTTCCAATAATTTTTGCCATTTTCTGTCTGCTTCCTTGCTTGGACAGCATAGCTGTGAAACAATCCAAAGCCTGTTAAAAAGAATAATAATAATAATTAAAAAAAAGACTTCCATACAAATTTTACATGGYATCATCTTAATTAACAGCCTGAATCAGATACAGCAAAGGTAAACAAAAATTAATTCAGTGGCTTCAGATCTAGTTCACAAATGGACTATCAGCATGATATTTAAAAATTTTCAAACTTTATWGTTTACTAGGTTTCTGATCCCTGTAAAACTTTTCAATACTCAAGGAAACCAATCTCGGCAGTTTTTTCTAGATGACAGGACCAAAATGAGGGCAGCAYTTTCATATCTTAAAATTGCCTCTGCCAAATTCCAGACCTGAACTATAAGCTGATGCAAAGTAGCTCTGTATTAGAAGAAAAAAGAAAAGATTTCAGAATCATACTGCAGATTAGGTATCTTGAATTTTGCTGGGAGATTCACGCATTAAGTCTCACAAAKGGCACCAGTCTGCTGTTCCAATAGGGATAGTGCAGAACTGAATATAAAAAGCTTGGAATTCCTGAAGTGGCCATAAAACCAGCTCAAAAGCAGAGCCAAAGCCTAAAGATACTTGAAAACAGGAGTCATTTTAAGAACAAGCTACAAAATGTACCTCACACTATTTCCCAGCACAGAGGAATGTATCCTAACTTAAATACTAATGCCTGGATCATCATTTCCTGAGCACTGTTTCTGGACACAAATCCACATCACTGGAAAGATGTGGAAGCTGTAATGAGTAGTGTGGTGTTTTCCACATCCACAATAAAAGTTGTGAGCAACTGCAGCACCTTAGTCACAAGCACCACGCATCGAGAACTTGAATATTTTAAAGGTTCTTTAACCAATTCTAGTGCATTTTTCTTGTATTTACAATGCACTAGAAGGAATCAAATGTTTAAACAGCAAGTTGATTTGTGAATGTACCCACATTACATAAACTTTTATTCTTCTTTGGTCACAGGCAATCCCAGCTCACATCAGTTAAAATTACATTTCAGCACACAGTATGTCTGCATAGGAGGAAGAAGTTTGGATTAGCTTTCAGCATGTCACTGTGAATAATCTGCCTAGTTGTAAGGAAAGCCACTGTTAAGCACATCAAGCGCTTCAACTATAGTAATTACTTCAAATAAAAGTAAATGTCATTTCTCTTATGAACTCTTAAATAGAGCATTTGATGGGTAGTGATATCATGTGAAAATCTGAGTTAACAGTTTCCTGGCACATCAAGTCTTACCGCACCTCCTGAAAAATATTCACTGCTGTGCTTGGAGAGCTACTGTCGAAGTTGTATGCGATCCTGCTGCACCAATTCAGCAAGTCCCTGGAAAGAAAAAGGAAAAAAGATTTGGTGAAATCAAGTGAGAACACACAGTACTTCCTCTCGTTTAGGTTCTCACTTATTTGCCATCTTTTTAGCAGTGACACATTTATTTAGCTTTAAGTTGCACATGGGAAATTACTTATAAATTGGATGCTAATTATAAAGAGTAAATGAGGATAACAGTATCACTTTCAGATGCACTGTCTATAAACAGACAATATGTACCATATTATCCACTGCTGAAAGCAACTGTGAAATTGGAAAAAAATGAAAAGCAGTATGCTTTTGATCCAGAAAGGTATCAAGAACCATTTTTCAAGACACAAATCCCCCATCAACACTACAATCTTTCGGAAACGGGTCAAAAAAAAAAAAAATCTAATGCTAAGAAAACAAATGCTGCTTTTAAATAATCAGTATTCCTGTACTTCACAAGAATATGGACTGCCCATTTCTAGTATCTGCTGAATAATTCACAAAACACTGCTGGTTATAGAAATTCCAATTTGTTGGACTAAGTAGATTGACAAGTACATTCAACTGCTGCAAAAATTTATCCACCAGTTACTGTTACAATACACAGCACACCTCAAAAATTAGAGAACTGATGTGCTGAAAAAATAATCTATGTGGCTTGACACTATTTCTCAACACTATTCCATGAGAAAACCTTTATTTTAAGAAAATGAATAGGAAATACAAAGTCCTATACAATTTGTACTCAGATTTAAGAAAAAAATACATTAAATATGATCTAAAATTAAAGAATGGAATTTTCAAAGCACATTTATTAAATTCAGGTTTAATTATTCAAACTTTAATCACAAGATATAAAATGTTAAAAAGAATAAAAAGAAAGGGAAAAAAARGGAAAAAATACTGGTATCTGTAGCCATTTGGTTAAGTTTCCTTATAAGCATATGAAGAAAGAGAACCTTAGAGAGAGTTCTCGTCCTTCCAGATTTGGTTTCTTATTTTCTGATTTTGATTCCGTCGCATTCTCTGCCACATCCCTGTTGCCAGCTGCACTGTTTTCTGGTACTTCATACTTATCTCCCGTAAGGTCAATATAAATGTCTAGCAAATGATCAGTGACAGGAGCAAGGCTGGGGTATCTGCTCTGAAGAACCTGAAAAACAAAGCAACCCCCCAAAAATGTCTTCAGCTTTGGAATCCAAACAGAAATCACCAAAATTTCAATAGGAGCCACCTCAGTAGCCACTCCTTAAGCTGCCAAGCCACACAAAACTCCTCTCTGAGAATCTTGCTGATGACATTTGGTGACTCTCTTTTTTAATACAGATGTAGCAGTGTCATAATTATTATAACAATTATTAAAATATTAAATTATGCAAGGTTTTGCTCTCATATGAAGCAAGTCTAAGTCACTGCCAGCTACATGATACTGATTTGAATGTCAAATTGAAATTTCCCAACTCAAATGTACTCCAGTTTACATATTTGTACTAGTACTGACAGAAGTATAGTAGTATATTCAGCATCACCTATAGYACCATAAGTCAGAAGCAAAGAACTCCGTAACTGATCATTAAAACTCCCATCTCCTGTCCCTCTTGCACAGCCTTTTATGACTAAACACTTTTTCAGCATCCAAGACATCTCTTCACTGCCTCAAAAGGTTAATTTCCAAGTATTCCAATTTCAAAGTTGTAATTGTACAGGCTACTGAGCGAGACCCAGGGAGGAACCATATCCTACTGGAGACCTGTATTTTTCCCCATTCTAGAAGTTTCAGAAGAGAAGTTTCTTTTAAATCTGCTGGGGATAATTCTTCTTTCCTTTGGCAAGGCTTTTTTCTTTGTTTTCTTCGCTTGTCTCCTCCCCCTCCCCTCCCCCCCMAAAAAAATTCTATTTTGAATTCTATATCACAGGAAGAATCTCTAGAGAATTCTGTTCTCTGGACTTAATTTAGTGATGCACTAAAAAAACCCCAAACATTCCCTACCAATACTAACAACAACAAAAAAAAGCCTACAGAAGTAGTAATTCATAACTGACAACCAAATGTTTTTCATTTCAAGGCTTAGAGAACTCAGGAGTAAACTAAGCCTGGTTTTCTCTATTTTTTTTTAAATCATTTTTCTTCCTCCCAACACCACTTAAAAAATAAAACCACAACACACCACCGCACACCTCTGCATACTACAAAATAGCAAAGTAATTTCACTGAGACTCAATGCTAAATTGTGTTTGCAATGACAGAACCCAGAAATCTGTCCAATTCACGTCCAATTTTATTGGCATACTGCCCATTTACTTCAGAGTTAGCTGTTTAGATCTGAAACAATTCGGATAAATTACAGAACTTGCAGGGAAAATAAAAATTAAATTTATTCCCAAAAAGCATCCATTACCCTTAATCAAAGCAAATTTTCACGTGCCACAATACAGCAGCATATACCATACCTCCTTTAGCTCTGCTTTGCTCATGTTATCCAGGTGAATTTTGGTCCAATACTTATCCAGAAGAGCAGCGTGGCTGTTCTGCTGTCTGTACCAACCAGCTCCACAACTGAAAATCCTAAATCAAGACAACACACAAGGACCCATAGCAGTAGTGTCTTGCTGAAGAATTCAACATTTGAATACAATCCCATTTATCAAAAAGCAGCTGCTGAGAAGAAGAATGCATGCCTAGATCACCCACTGTTTGTCTCTGTACTGACAGACAGTTCATCATGCCTCTCTCCTTTCTATATCCCTTTTTTTTGTTTTATCACAGGATATTTCCCCTCTAGTGCAAAATCTCCATGAAGGCACTACTAGAAATAAGCATGACAATAAGCCTATCCTATCAGAAACAACACAGAGGATGCCCTGTAAAGGATGGAGCCTGAAAGAGGTAATCATTCCACAGATCCTAAGGTAATCAAGGGTAATCATTYCACAGATCCTAAGGGATCCATGCTCTATTGCAGACGGATGTGCAGGAAAACTATTTGTTCTCATTCTTCTGTCTTTGTTCCATATTGTTTTTTACTGTGCATACAGCTATGCAGCCATATACTCAACACACTAGGGAAGTTGGTTGGCATATGCAAAGCACTAGATATTGCTCTTTCTTCTGCATTTGGGTTTTCCTTATCCTACCTCCCAGGTCAGAAATTCAATAAATCCGTTGCAACACCCCTGTGGTGTATTTGGTCAAGRATCTGTACAGCAGAAAGGTATAGATTCCACTCAGTTACATGATTCTGCCCCTCTACTCAGCTCTGGTGAGGCCGCCCCTGCAGTACTGTGTGCAGTTCTGGGCWCCCCAGGACAGGAGGGAYGTGGAGCTTCTSGAGAGGGTCCAGAGAAGGGCAACCAGGATGATTAAGGGAATGGAACATCTCTCGTATGAAGAGAGGCTGAGTGAGCTGGGCCTGTTTTCTCTGGAGAAGAGAMGGCTCAGAGGGGATATGATTAATRTGTATAAGTTCAGGAAGGGAGAATGCAGGRAGGAAGGGGACAGGCTGTTTTCATTGGTGGCCAGCGATAGGACGAGGGGTAATGGGCATAAACTGGAGCACTGGAAGTTCTGTCTCCAGGTGAGGAGGAACTTCTTTMCTGTGAGGGTGACAGAGCAGTGGAACAGGCTGCCCAGGGAGGTTGTGGAGTCTCCTWCTCTGGAGGTCTTCAAAACCCGCCTGGATGCCACCCTGTGCCACATGCTSTAGGTGTGCCTGCTTGAGCAGGAAGGTTGGACTAGATGATCTGTAGAGGTCCCTTCCAACCTTAAATATTCTGTGATTCTGTGAATCTGTGAACCATTGACCAAGTATACCACAGAGGCAACCATTTCAGGACATGAGGCAACCCAAGGAGAGGAGTGAAAGATTAAATCCTAAAATACATAAGTCAGATAACTTATCTTTTCTCTGATTTATCTATGAGGGGGACAAAAAGGGAGGAAAAAAAGGCAGCAGAGAAAACTATTAAAGACTTTGAAGAAAGCCCACAAAACATTTGAGGAACGTGTGACCGTACCACTTTAGATATCCTAACTTGTAACCTTGCTGAAATACTAGGTATTGCTATACCAGATGTCAAAATGTCATCTTATATGTGAGCCATTACTATGTCGCTGCAAGCAAATGGTCATGGAGAAAACCTTTAAAACCTTTTCCTGGTTAAAAAAGCCACTACAAAACTCTGTTTGCAAAAGACTCTCATGAATTAGATTTGCTTCACAAAAATTTTTCCTTATATTCCTTTTTTGCATGATTCCCAAAAAGAAGAATTATTACAAATGCAGRGCTGAATTAAAATTATTCATGAGACTTTCATAAATACCTCTAGGAAACATAAGGAAACAGTCCCTTAAGGAATAGGTGGAATAAAATAAATAAAATAAATAAAAATCAAACCCAGAAAACTCAATACGTTCAATTAGATCATCAGCTACCAACTGGAAATTGCCAGACTACCTATTTSCAGTTTGAATATAGCATATTCAGTGTTTTTGAACTCATAAAGTTTTACCTACCTTCTGGTTGCAAAAAACTGGAATCCTGGAGCTACTTTTAAGCAATCACCACGACCAGGAATTAATAATTCCCTTTTTTCCAAAAGAGGAATCAGCACAGAAATCTGGAAAAGAGAAGAAACTTTATAAAACATTCTTCTTTTGTGAAACATTCGCAGCCCACCCATCCACATGCATTTCACACAGGAGATGCTAGAGCTCTTCTACTGTCAGCAAGTAACGTTTCCACAGACTGCACTTCCACCTGACACAAACAGGAATCAGAGTCCCACTGCTACATAAAATTAACTGTAAGTGACAGGTATAGACATTTCTCAAGCTCCTTTCAAGTGTATTCATATTGAATAACAGGCGCRCRCRCRCACACACACACACAAAGTATGACAGTCTTTACACTGACACCCCTAGCTAGAATTATTGAATTTGAGTTCTCAAAACAGTTGAGTTTTCCAAGACAGTTATCTGTGGTACACTTGCTCAACAGTTAATATAACTAAGCGGAGTCTGTACTTTCCCCCAAAACTGTCTCCTAAGATTTAATCAGACGATTTTATCAGAAGATTTATTTTCTTTATTGCCTGAACAAAATTAACCTCCATCTCCACATACCACATCCAGAGGTGCGTAGTCGATGTCCTCCAGGAGCACCCAGAGACCTTTGGTAACAGCCTGGGTCAGCGCTCCGGGCTGCCACACGAACTCCCCTGGAATGTCAGTACAGCGATACATGCCAAGCAGCGTCTGCCACGGAAACAGCCAGCAAGTCACACACCTCCTCATGGCACGTCTTGATGACTCGGAATAAAAGCTCCCAAAGATGACCAAGTAACACTTGTATAGCCTGCCCTTTACTAAGCAACCTACCTGGCAACCTATGTTCAGCTTCCCAGTTTATTTAAGAATTTAAATCACTCCTTTCACATTCATAACAATTTAACTGAAACATCATGACCAAAACGAGCTAGATAAACAACAGAGTGTTTCCACAGTCATACCAACCTAATATATATCATACCAACTCACAAAACAAAGAAAAACATAATACATACCATATCAACCAACAAAACAAGCAGAATAACGTATTAGGCTGTCTAGAGCTACAGTGAGCTGTATTTTGCATTTTTGTAAGGCTGTAACTGAGCTGGCAAAGTAAGGGAAGCTTTAGAACAAGCTATTTTAAGATACAAAAATAATCATTCAAGCTTTGTTTTTCCCTTTAAGCTCTTGCACTTAAGCATTTCTTCCACAATTACGTTTATGGTTTCACAACATTAACTATTACTTAATTATTTTATACTTAATATTTAATTATTACTTTATCACTCTTCCATAATACAGTGGTCTTTGAATCTTCTCACATATGTGACTAAGAGAGGAGTTGTGAGATGGTGAAACAGGCGGTTCTTCCATGAAAATAAAGGTGGCTACCAAGGGCAATCCAAAGTCTTAAAGGTAGTACCTGTGGTAAAATGCTAACTTCCTCAAGAAGTTAAACAGAACTGGAGCCTAATAACAAATTATTTCACACTCAGACACATACATTGCATGATACACATGCAAAACCAGAGAAAATCAAACATTATTCTCACTTTGGTTTTGCCTCTACACATAGATATACATCACTGTTATGTAACTGCATGTACTCCTCCACATCACAGGGTTTTACTTCATCACACCTTTTACTTCATCATATCTTTACACAAATAACTGAGATCAGATTAGACCGAAAAAATCCATAATTGAAACAAAACAAATAGAGCACATTTATGGGGGGAAAAAAAACCCTACAATTTCATAGTGAGATGGGACTTGCTACAGCACAGTATTACAGAGGTCCAATTATCCTACCACAAAATAATTTCCAGTTACCTTGCTGTCAGTTTGATCCCCAAGTTGGACTTTCAAAATATGAGGAGGCTTCGTTCTTCCTGTAACAGCTGCCAAGTACTCGATCAAAGAGGTTTTGCCACATCCTATGGGTCCTTCTAGTAAAACAGGCCTCTGAAATGCTACAGCAATAGCAAGGTTTTGGAGATTTGTGCAGGCAGATTCAACCAAAACAAAACAATTGGTGTTTTCCTGTACAAACATAAATTGCGAGTTATCACACTGAAACTGTTAGTTATGTACAGGCTGTGCAACACAGACCCTATAGAAGAGTTAGTCCAATCATTAAAAGTTCTGACCTGCAGATCTGTCAACATATAACAAATAAAGAGTTCTAAAGTTCTAACGATGTGGATTATAAAGACTGTATTAAATAACTGGCATGAAGTTTTTCATAAAATGAATTTATTATAAATGATACACTTAATGATGTATATGTACAATTTGTTCCCAAAAGGAGTTTACACTTGCTTGTCAGCACAGGCATAGTGATTACTCAATTGTCACACTCATGTCAGTCAAACACAGCTTGCTATACAAATTGAAGCCATCAGAACAGATCCTTATGGCAGAAGAAATCAAACAGTTGTTAAACTGAGACCATGTTTTGTGCAAATATGCCTTCTGGCAGGAGAGCATTAGGCTTTGTGCAACACATGATTTACTATTGACTACAGAAAAGGTAAAATATTTGGAGAGTGAAGTAATTTCTTGACCACTTCCTCCACATTCTTCCTACTTTCTAGGCAAGGAAGTAGCCACCTTGTTATCCTTTCTTTCAAAATAGTAGCTAGGAGTATTTTTTTGAGAAAGGCTGATGACAGACAAGATGTCTTTCCCATACAAAAACTATTTCATATAGATAAAAGCAACTGTGTCAAAATCTTCAGTTTCTCCCTAACTTGAAATAGGGGTGTACTATACAAGGCTTAATGTCTCTCACAGCATGTTGCAAGAATTGCTGCTTGAAAAAATAAGAGAATTATGCCACTTCTGCTTCATTCCACTATAGAGCTCCTTGGCAAACTCAATATAATGCATCAATAGCTCCCAGTACATATCCAGAAAGCAAACTAAATGTACATTACTTGCAGGATCTCAGTACCATTTAAGTAGGAAGGCATGATAAGCCAGTTCTCAAAATTTAGGGCATCTTAAAGAAGATACAGCCTTAATCTTGGGTTACATACCTGCTCTTCAGAGGGAAGCTGTAACCTGGGCAGCATAATGCCACCCACAGCCACTACGTTTGCAGAGAGGTCGCTGGATACAATATCTCCTTGCATGTACTGCAGCCCTTTCTCTTTTCGCCAGAAAGAGGAATCTGGATTGGCCAAAACAAGGGCTCGTTCCACATTCTGCAGCTGGGATTCTTCTAGCAGCCTGTCAAATCCATATCCATGTTTATTAACTCAAGCAAAAGCCATCAGTAAATTCATCAGAAGTCAGTAATTAGAAGTTCTTACTTTAGTCTGAACTGTATCAACTCTTCAGGACTGAAGATCTTCTTGAGAAAGGATAACTTATGCTCATCATTCATGCATGTAACCAGAGCAAGGCAGTTTGAAGTATACCTAGAAATAAATATTTAGAGGAAAAATACCAATATGTAGTCTTTAGATACTTATTTTGTCAACTGACAGTTACAAATCAAGACATCATTTAGAAAACTACACAGAAAACTTTTTTCCCCCTCACATAAATTGTTTCAATGCTCTGCTTAACATTCTTTAAGGATTTCTGAGGTATTACATTAGAGAAAAACCTATCCTCTCATGGCATAATGCATTGCTAAACATGAAGTAGCTAATCACAATAGCACTTCCACAAATAAATGAGCTTTAGATGTTCATTTTCAACGAAAAGTAGATTTTTGCTGTGTTTTTTTTCATTTCTCCTGCCATTTCCCTTTGAAAGTTATTTCCTATGTCACGTCATTTCTAAACTGACTTTAATACAATGAATTTGAGACAAGAGAAACCAAAAACTCCCAAGCCTTGACTTAATTTTTATATAGACCTGTCTTGCAAGAAAGGACATTCAATACAAACTATAAATACATGTTTCATTTATTTCAAATCTGCTTTTATGTTCCAAGAACAAAGTCTTAAACAATCTTGTAAAATAAACAAGCTGTGATATACCAAGAGACATGCAGAAAAGCTGAAGTGGCAACGTTTCACAAATTTCACCATCTCTCATGAATCCAGCTCAGGTAACTAATTTATTTGGCAAGATTTTTCTAATCCCTACAGTTTGCAGCATTACTAAGAGAGCTTAGATTTCATTCTGTGATAGGTCACTACAGGTCTCAAAAGATCAGGTAAGCATAAAGACAGATATTGCGGGTATGGATTTTTCTGGTACTATCCAAAGTTAACTTAATCCTTGTGCATGTATTTCCCTAAACATAATTCAAGATACAGGTTCTTCCTTTTGGAAGGACATCTCAGGTCTTTAACTTACCAACGGACTAACGTGTCATGACTCCTTAGGAGTGGAACACACACACTCCAGTCCCATAATTCCTGGAAAATTGACTGCTCCTTCTGTAAGAATCTATAGGCTGCCTCCATGAGATCCCGTAACTTCATTCGTCTGCGTCCATATCGGACTGTGCTTGTATCTGAACTCTCTAGGAAAAGTCTCTGGAAAACCGGTGCTGTCTTCTTAAAATATCTTAAAGCAAATCTTCAAGAAAAAAAAAAAAAAAAGAGAGAAAAAAAAAAAGAGAGAGCGCGATACAGATGGATTTCAGACATCTTGGCCAAAACAAGTCACTAATAATAAAAAAAGTTCTAATCCAGAGGTCCCAAAACAGTAAGTGATGGTTTAGGGCAAACTAAAGGTCTATATTTACTTTCATTCACGCTTGGGAAAGACAACCTCTTCAGCAATCAGTTGACAATATATACTTTATTACAGATGACAGACAATTACTTGTTTTACAAGGGAAAACCGGTGAAATACCAACCTCAGTGAAATATTATTCATTTCCCCTGTTTACTAAACAGGTAATATCAATTTCTTTGTTATTTTTGTGTTCCTACTGACTACATAGAGATGTCAGGCCTAATATTAAACTATATTAAGCTATTCTCATATCAGCTGTTTTGCTTTTGTTCTAATCATTACAATGAAAATCATGTCAAATATTACCTTATTATTAAATCTAAAAAATTGTGTTCAGGTGTGGGTTCACAAGCCACACTTCCAATTCTAACCATATTTACTACTGAAAGGCAATCCAAAGTATTGCAAGGACACCTCTCCTCAAGCAACACACGCTCTGCTCCGTAAAGCCAAACACGGTGCCAGACCACACGACGCGACGGGATGTGACTTACGGCAGCACATCTGGGTGATCCGTGACCAGCTTGCTCATGGCTACGCACAGCCTTTCGTGCAGGTCGTGGTTGAGGTGGCCCCCAGCCTGAATGGCTTCCGCGTTCCTCTCCAGCAAATCCAGCAGGATCGGGCGAGCCTGGCGCCCGATCAGCACGGTGCATTCCTTATCGAGCAGCAGCTGCGCGAGAGCGTCGAGGATGCACCGCCGATCCTGCTGCGTCCACACCTGCACCGATGCAAGGTAAGAGCAAGTTAAAAAAGAGGGAAAAAAAACCCCAACTTTTAAACTTGTAATTTCAAAACTACCTATACAGGATTCACAGGCAGGTTTTTGTCACAAAAATAACATAATTCCCGCTGATCTCAACAACTTGGTCATGGATAAACCACAGTTGAGTTGCATCACGTTTATTCTTTTCAAAAATAAAAAGCACTGAATCAAACAGGATTCCAGCCAAGATATTCGCTGCTTTAAAATTGTTTTTTTCTTACTTATATATCTTCATATAAATTTATTTTTATATATTTTTCTCATTTGTACATAAAAATGGGACCACTTAGTTTCACCACTTGCTTTTGGGGAGGAGAAAAAAAGAACATTACACTTTAGAATAGATAGAAAATACTGTCAAAAACAAACAAACAAAACAAAACCAAAACACCAACCTAACTTCATTATTGAAGAATAACAGCCCATTTCCATTGTCTTTTCATGCAGCTTTTTCAGTCTTCTGCTCCTTTTACTATCCAACAACCTCTCCAACACTTTTACAGGTAACACGGTGTATATATAATTATGATTTGTGGAGACTAGCATTATGAATTTGTACTAGAGCAGCTCTGAACTTTGACCCTCCACACTCCCTCATTGATAGAGGGGAACCCTTATACTCTATCAAGATGATTTTTTGCTTTCTTGGCAAATAGCAGCAAGCAGCACTAGGCAAGGCAGCTTTCCCAGCAACAGAAATAAGCACTTACTCGGCCCCTACAGAAACAGTCTGTGGTTCTCATAGTCTCTCATTCTAGCTACCTGTGCTGTCAACTTGTGCCTCTCCCAAGCTGTTATTTACGCGAGAGCTGCTCCTGGGCATGCCGCAGGCAGCGGTGGCTGGAAGGCAACACGCTGCAGAGGTGCTGTGGCTTTCTCGGGAAGGGAGACCTCCTAAGGCTACACCTCTGCCGACAGCCTCTCAGGACACGCACGTGGTGCTGCTGCCCCTGCGCCTCACGCTGAATCGGAAACAAAGCCAACGTTAAAGCTACCACATTTAGCTATTAATTCCAAGCAGTTTCTCGGATGTATTCAGGTCTATTTTGTGGAAAATGATATAAAGTTTATCACCCTTCCTCTTGTCTATCATAGTAGAATTAAAAAGAGATTATTTTAAAATAAAGCCGAAAGTCTTCTCACATTACAGAGGAAGAAACTGTTTTAAATCTGGACCAGATTTGGGGTGGAAGAACAACTAACTGTTCAAGGGCAGCACAGCTCAAGAAAAGTGGAGGTAAACTTTACTTCAGGCAAAGATTAAACAGTATTTTCAGTCTACAAATCAGTTCCATCTTTGGCTATTGATGCAAGCACAGACTGCTGTATACCAACCCCACTCTTGAACTCTCGAGAGCAAGCAATTCTTTGTGTTCTGTCTTGTTTCTTACTTAACAGATCATGAGCATCTCCCATGAGGAGTGGTTTGGGAAATACTGGGGGAGTAAGAAGCCAGGATGACAGCAAAGCCCTAGCTGTACAGATTACATGCTTCCTGTGTTACCTACAGATCAACTAGCAGAAAACAAGGCAAGATGAGTGAAGCCAGTGCTCGTTTAGTGGTAAAGCAAGCCTACCACAAACCCCTAGACCTGCAGCTTCGAAGCTCAGCAGTGGCCAGGAGGTTCAGCGACCTGGGCAAGGCACCTCTGTTCACCAACATGCTGTTGGGGAGGCTCTGCACATCTTGCTCCCTCTGGTCTTCACTGATTTCTAGTTAGCAACTTGGAGCACACCCCTCACACCAGCAACAGGCACAGCCTCTTTCCTGGTCTCTGAAGGCAATGACTCCATCCCAGCTTACCACTCCATGTGCCAGCTGCAGCGTTCCGGGGGAAAGGGGAGGCAGATTTAGCACACCTGTTTTTGCACTGCTCTGGTCCTCACCTCTTTTTCAGATGTTCCTCTAAAACAGCAGTTTTTATCATCCCCACTGCTTCTCACCCCCTGGCAGCAACTCTCAGGTCTAGTAGTACACAGTCTCATCAAATGCATTTTCATCCTGTGATTTACACTGACAGAAGAAAAAGCTACAAAATGCCCCCAAATACAATGACAGTTATTCTTCCTTCCAACCGTAGCTAAGAAACAGCAATATAGAGAGAAAGTCTATTTTTTAATGTATATATATATATACACAAAAGTCGTCAATTAGACTTTTTATCTTCAAGCGGCTACATTTCCCAGACACTCTAATGAAAAGCACGACTTTGAGTCCTGAAGCGTGCATACAACTCAGGGGCTTCAGAAACTCCGCACCGACGTTAAGCCCGACCCGTTGATACCCGACCACAGGCAGGACGGGGTGGCACCTCGCTCCTCCTCGAAACCGGGACCCTACTCGCGGCAACAGAACAACGGCCACAACCCGCAGCCCCGGGGCGGCCCGCTCACCTGCTTGGCCAGGAACCTGCCCAGCTCCGCGCTGCTCTTCTCGTTCCTTCGCGCCACGAGCTGCAGCGGCTCGGCGAGGCGGAGCCGCAGCTCCGCCATGGCGGGACGGGACGGGACGGGACGGGACGGGACGGGACGGGACGGGACGGGACGGGACGGGACGGGACGGGACGGCGGGGCACGCGCCCAACGGCCGCAACGGCTGCTGAGCGCACGCGACACGTGCGGAGCGCAACGGACTTCCGCTTAGTGCCAACGTCATCAGCCCGCGACATCACAGGGAAGAGGGGCGCCGCCGCAACTCCGCCCCCACGCGGCACGGCTGCGCGCGGGAAACTACAGACCCCGGCATGCACCGCGCCGCCGCCGGGCCCGGCCGCCGCGAGCCAGCTCGCCCAGAGCACGCCGGGATATGTAGGCCTGGCCTGCTGAGAAGGGGCCCTGCGCGTCCCGCCGGCCACCGGCGGCAGGGGGCGGGGCCGAGGGGAGGTGGCGGGGGCGGTGCCGCTCGCTTTGGCGCCAACTGCCCCGTGCGGGGGGCGGGGCTTGTGACGCCGCGGCCGGGGACGCGCCGTGCGTGGGGCGCCATTGGCTGCGGCGCGCGCGAGCTCCGCCCCCAGCCCCTGGGCGCCTGCGGCGGCGGCGGTAACG